ATGGGGTACAGTTTTCTAGGGTTTGCTTTTGTACCCAACTTTCCCTTAGTCAATTCATTCCTCATTTCTTCACACTTAGAAACAATGCAAATGTATGGAGTCTATTTTGTAAATGTTACGAGAATATGCACAAGTAAATAAGAATATATATACAAAGCATTTGATTATTGAAAAGTAAGACTAAAACATGCTAGTCGTATCTTCAATCTCCCCATAAACACACAAGAAGACGAACTTGCTACTCAACCTATTTCAACATTGCTGTGCATATATATATTGAAAGACTAAAGTTTAGTAGGCTTAGGAGCCATGGTAGTTAAGTGACTTAGTGGTGAAGTTCGAGGGTAAGGAAAATTGTCGAGAGAGTTGTGTGAGAGAATGATGGTTTCACTATAGGTTCAAGGGTACAAATATGAAAGAAGTGAAGCAAGGTGCACCACCTAACAAGCAAGATAACTACACAAAGTCTACATTGCAGGTAGTTATAAAGTGATGTATACAATAACATTCTGACACACCCCCTAACTGCCTGCAGTGAAGAACCATGTGCAGAAACACCCCCGGAAGGGGTACACCAAGCAGAGCGCAGCAGACAGAGAGGGCAAATGAGGAGGAGAGACTGTGGAGGAAGAGAAGATGCGAGGCAACGACTGAAGCTGCAGAGGCACGGGCACAGGAGCGGCTGACTCAGTGGCTACCGAAGCAAGGGCGACGGACTACTGGAGTGACTGGCTCCGCGGCTATAGACGAGCGGCAGGAGCAACGGACCCACTGGCGACTGGTGCAACAGGCTCACTGGCTACCGAAGCAAGGGCGACGGACTACAGGCGCTGCAGGCGACACGACAGCTACCTTCACACAACCTCCCCCAGCTGCCCCACTCCCCTCTCACACACTCCCTGTTCAAACCCTAGCTCCACTCCCACAGCACCCCCCTTAAACCCTAAACCCTAAGCTCCCACACACCCACCCCCCTCAGCGACAGCTGCAGCAGTGGGAGACGAGGGAGGAGGAGGAGCAAGGGGAGGAACACATAACCGCCACCCCCACACCCGCCACCCCCATGCTTGGCACCCCACACCCCCAGCACCACGGAATGCACGGGGGGGGGGGGGGGGGGGAACGGGACGGGCTGCAGGTGCGGGCTGCTCCAGGGGCGGCCGCTGCAGGTACGGGCTGCTCCAGGGGCGGCTGCTGCAGTTGCTGGCTGCTCCAGGGGCGGCTGCTGCAGGTGCGGGCTGCTCCAGGGGCGGCTGCTGCGGTTGAGGGCTGCTCCAGGGGCGGCTGCTGCAGGTGCAGGCTGCTCCAGGGGCGGCTGCTGCAGGTGAGGGCTGCTCCAGGGGCGGCTGCTGCAGGTGCGGGCTGCTCCAAGGGCGGCTGCTGCAGTTGCGGGCTGCTCCAGGGGCGGCTGCTGCAGTTGCGGGCTGCTCCAGGGGCGGCTGCTGCAGTTGCTGGCTGCTCCAGGGGCGGCTGCTGCAGGTGCGGGCTGCTCCAGGGGCGGCTGCTGTGGTTGAGGGCTGCTCCAGGGGCGGCTGCTGCAGGTGCGGGCTGCTCCAGGGGCGGCTGCTGCAGGTGCGGGCTGCTCCAGGGGCGGTTGCTGCAGGTGAAAAGTAGGAGGGAGGGGAGGGGAAGGGCGCGGCTCCCAGGGCGCCCTGACGGGCGACGAGCTAGGGGGCCGCGCAGGCCCCCGAGAGCGCCTCGACGGGCGACGGGAGGGGACCGCGCGCGGGCCCCCAAGACGCCTCGACGAGGCGACGGGAGGGGCCGGCTCGCGGGCCCCGAAAGCGCCGCGACGAGGCGACGGGAGAGGCCTGCGTGCGGGCCCCCAAAACGCCGCGACGAGGCGACGGTCGGGGCCGGCGCGCGGGCCCCCAAGACGCCGCGACGAGATAGGAACCCGCCGCGCGCCGCGGGGCGCACGGCGGGCAGAAAACCGCCACGCGCCCCGAGCGCGTGGCGGGAAGAAAAATAGGAGGTCGCGCGCCACGGGGCGCGCGACACACAGTAGGGCAGCGGAAGTAGGTGGGCCCACAGGCCAGGAGCGTTTAGCTCTGATAGCATATTGAAAGACTAAAGTTTAGTAGGCTTAGGAGCCATGGTAGTTAAGTGACTTAGTGGTGAAGTTCGAGGGTAAGGAAAATTGTCGAGAGAGTTGTGTGAGAGAATGATGGTTTCACTATAGGTTCAAGGGTACAAATATGAAAGAAGTGAAGCAAGGTGCACCACCTAACAAGCAAGATAACTACACTAAGTCTACATTGCAGGTAGTTATAAAGTGATGTATACAATAACATTCTGACAATATAGTCGTATGGAAAAGATAATAAAGGATGGGTACAATTATATGGTGCCATTGCAGTTATAACGACATGTGCGAGCATAGTCCAACAAGATGGAGACACAACAACAGTACTGATTGTTTATAAGGCCAACAATAATGTTAGAATAATTGTACGATATTATATGATATCTTTATTGTTACTTGTATTTATATAATTAGAGATGCAATTTGGTGTATTTCACATTGTTTATCCAACGAGAGATAGAAAATGCGGCAAGCGATGACCATGAAGAAATGGAGATAAAATATCTTATATACCAATAAAGCACTTTATAATATAAATTTATGACAAGTATGTTTCCAAAGAATTAGCCTAACCAGTTTATGATAACTATACATCGAATAGTATATCATTTATACAAAAGCTTTCTGGATATTATAAGGAGGGTCTATATTGTGGCTATATTAAGAGTATTAATATTTAATAACACTTGTTATAATAAGATATATATTTTAGAAATTAAAAATATATATGATTCATGCATGTCCAAATGAGCATATACGATTAATCTATTACGGTTAAGCAGAGCCAAACCATAAATACACATGCCAATACCACCTTGTTGATCTTATTTTTCTGGGTAGAAAACGTGCTAATCGTGGAATCCTGCTGTATGCTTTCACTGAGTTTTCCACATTCCACGAGCAGCATCTGCCCGCTGCGGGCACCAGTGTGGGTTGTGCACATTTCACGAGCAGCTTCTGTTCTTTGTGTACACACCACAGTCGTTGGCAAGGCAAGCGACATCACAGATCTGCACCCCAACCAGCTATCGCCGATTTATGGGTGTTCTCAGGCAGCCGAAAGCATCCGTGTTTCGCGTGTGAATCATATGCAGTGCGTCTCTAGCATCCAGGCTTTTCAGAATATATGTTTACATAAGAATGCGTGAGGACGAGAGTGGTGTCAATCAACACTCCTGTCGTCTGCCTCATACCCAAAAAAGAAAACGCAACAAGCATGAATCCATCTTTAAGAACGCGACCTCACCCTGGCTCTTGTGATTTGTCCCTGGGAATCAGGAGATAAACCAATGTCCTACAGCGAGATCAAACCGGATTGGATCGCTGTCCTGCCCAGCCCACAAAGAGCTGCCCTCTGGTTCCAGAGATACTACTGTACTGTCCGTGATCGGCAGCAAGCAAGAGGTTGGCGCGAGCCGCCCGTGGATCTGAGATTAGCCACTTGAAACCACGAGATAACCATGGGCCCGTCGTTTCGTTGTGCATAGCGGAGTCAGCGGTGCACGCACACCAGCTAGCGGCCATGCATTTGGCCCACGAACAAGGGGATTATCACCCGTACTTGTGCTCAGGCTGTTAGTGTGCGTTACACTCCGTCCCTCACTCCTCTGCCATTCACCAGTGTTGGTTCCTTTCCCTACCCACCCCCACCCTCTTGAGGTTTGAAGAGTTTTCGGACCACCAATCCCGCTCTTAGATCCGAACTGGACTGGAGTCCGTCGGTCGAGTATGGCGGCTGGAAGCTGATTCGGGAATTCGGAGATGCTGCAGCGAGAACCACCAGACCCGGCATCAATTTCTCGAAGTTGCCGAGGAGTGGGGTGGGAGGGAGGAGTCGAAGGGTACAATTTCTCGATTTCTCGAAGTGTAACTGCTATGTACTGTAGCAGGGCTGCTATCAGTGTAGTTGAGTGAAGCTCATTGATGCCCCATGAGGACGTTCCCTAAACTCTCGGCAAAGGCAGTACAGTGCTGCAGGTGAGTCGAAAGGCACCGTGGCGCTGTGCCTCAGAGAAAGCCTCCTTTTTTTTGTTCCAAGTGTGGAGCACAGCCGCACAGTGACGACGAAGTCTTTCAAGCGTTACAATTGGATACGATACGGTGTTACTGTATCCACGACATGATCCATTAAGTGCACAGCGCGACTCGGGCTTAGGCTGAATGCACGCAGCACAATATCCGCTGCATTAGCGATTGCGGCGGCAAGCTCGCACCTTCATGGCGGGGGCCGACCGACGGATTCAGTCTGTGGCAGGAGGCAGCCCGACGGAAACTGACTAGTAGCGCAGCAAGGACAATCAGCACAGACCACCATGGTGACCCCACGAGCACGGGCCACGGATCGCGGCACGGTACGGCACGGCGATGCACAACGTAGTGGGCCCTCGGACTGGCCTCCGGGGCTCTCGGGTCGGGATGGCCCCAACAGGCCTCTTTTCCGCTTTGATTGCGCCACCTGGAAGAGGGGGGGACCTACCGATCTGCGCGCATGATCATGTAGTACAAGAACCGCGAGCTTCGCTGCCATTCCTGCATAACTTGCTTGTCAAAGATCTCCAGCCCCTAAAGTTTCGAGCTAAGTCCTTCGCAAAGACTCCCAGCTCGCAACAGCTGCTGCTGCCTACGACCATCACCCGCAGCATTTTTAGTACTAGAGTGTGGGGAAGGAACCCCTACCTCTCATTTACTATCAGGTCGACTGAAAAAGAAGCCCCCACCCTCCGTTGATTTCTCGCGGCGCGCCAAGCTTTCTCAGCACCCGCGGTGACTTCTACGCAACCGCCGCTGTTAAGAGTACTAAGCGTGCGGCCACTTATTTTTATTCTCTGCGAAGCAACGGAAGTGCCTGAAGCCAGCACCGCCACCGATCACTGCTGATCATTCGGTTCCTTTATTCCGTACAAAACAACAAAAAATGGCGGCGGCGACGGCGGCCAAGTCGTCACGGCGCGGCGGCGGCGGCTCGGGGGAGGACTTCAGCGCGTGGTTGGGCGGCGCGGGGTACAGCGAGGGCGACGTGCGTGACATCGTGGCGGATACACTTCACGGATCGCGGTCCGACCCCACGTGCGAGAACTGGGAGGAGGTGGAGCAGCTGTGCGATCATCTGGACCGTTGGTCGCCCGAGGAGCGCATCACGATGCTCGATATCGTCGTCGCGAGCGCGGACGACGACGATTCGGGGTCGGAGCTCGAAGGGGGAAAGGATGATGTCGTGTACGTCGTTTCCGGGACTGCGACTGCTACGGCGGCGGCGGTGTCAAAAGCGCCTGGAGGTGACGGCGAGGGAGAGGAGAGGCTTCCTGCGGCTGTTTTTCCGGGATCGCCAGAGGCGGGCGATTCGAGTCGTTCCAGCACCAGCAGCACCGGAAGCACGGGCAGCAGCGGCAGCAGCAGCAGTACCAGGCCCAGCAGCGCAGGCAGCTTTGGCAATGTCGCCAGCAGAAGCACCAGCACCAACAGCACCAGCAGCAGCGGCAGCAGCGGCAGCAGCGGCGGCGGCAGCGGTCCCCTTCGCAGCATCAATCGCAACGAGGCGGCAGGTCCAGAGAGGATCATGGCGAGCTCGGGATCAGTTCTCAAGGCAACCACGGCCGCTGGATGGGGCACGCACATCACGCGCACCTGCAGCACCCCCGACTCCCGCACCACGCCCGCGCTCCACGCGCCCGCCAGCCCCGACCTCCTCGCGCGCGCCGGCAGCAGCGGCAGGGCCAGCGCCGCGGGAGGCGGTGCGGCTGCGGCGGCATCGGCGGAGGCGGGGGCAAGCAAGCTGTCGTTCAGCGGGCCGTTGCAGCTCGCGCGCAAGCTGACGGGCCTGGGCGGGCGCGGCAGAAGCGGCAGTCCAGTGCCCAATTCTGCTGAGAGCAATGGCAGTCCCAATGGCAATGGCAGTGCCAATGGCAGTGGCAGTGGCAGAAACAGTGGGCTCTCTGGTCGGAGCTCTTCCCCCACGCCCCTCTCGCCGTCCCCACTAACCAGCCGAAGGCGCCTCGCGTTAGGCGCGTCCGGTACTTCAGCTTCCCGCACAGGGTCCCCGCTCCGGGTGACCCTGTGCCGCGCCGCATCGCCCAATCCGGGGGAGCTGAACAGCGTGTCAACTGCAGCGGAGAGGCTGATTGTCGCCATGGGGACTTATACTACCAGCAGCACGAGCCTTCCCGCTTCGTCTGTCAGCTCACCAGTTGGCAGTGGCACCTTCCCTAGTCCCAACCTGTTCTCCGCAGGATTGGGTGACAAGGGCGCCAGAGTGCGAGTTGATTTCCGCAGCGTTGGAGGTGAGGAGGATCGTACTGCGGAAGGAGAGACCAGTGGCGCTGCTGCTGGCGCTGCTGCTGCTGCTGCTGCTAGCGACGTGGGTGCTGCTGTGTCGTACCTGGATTCGGTGGGTGCGACGGTGACGGGCGTGGAACTGGTGTTGGATGAGAGTGGCGAGGAGTGTGCAGGCCTGTACCTGTCGTGTCAGCCGGCTTCAGTGTTGCCAGATAATGCAGGAGAAGCTGCAGCAGCAGCAGCAGCAGCAGCAGCGGCAGCATCTGCAGTGGGAAAGAATGGCCAAGCTTCAAGATTGCAGAGCAGCTGCAATGCCAATGCTGGGGTGCCGGTGGAATCGCAGGCCAAGGGAGGGGAGGCTCCTGCTGCTTCTATGCTCTCGGCGCCCTGCAGGCTTCAACTAGACCAGCGCCAGGTTGGCTCGGACCTGCTCCTAGCTTGAATCTGGAAGGTGGTGGTTGTTTTGCTTCTTCCTCCGATTTGCTGTTATTTTCTTTCTCTCCTTCGGTTCTTTTGGTGCAGTTCTGTGGCTGAAATTCGGTGCTAGTAGAGGCAGCCGGATACGGTAGTTCGCTATCATGCCATGCTTAAAGCCCAAGACCTGAATTACTCAACGGAAGTCAACGCCAAAAAACTAGGTTCGGAAGAGGTTCGGTTTGGTTGCGAAACCCTTTCACTCGCGAAACCAGTTTGCAACAAAGTTGTGTCGCTTGGAAGAAGACCTGTGATGAATGGCGTGCTTCCCACAACCAGAGTTGAGCGTGCCTACCAAGCTGTGCACACTTTGACAATCCTAGCAGCAGACTAAAACTAGGCATAATATAGAATACGTGTAGGCAGGGCGTAGCCGTTGACTCTAGAGCGATCAAGGCGCGATGCGATGGTGTGTGGTGCGGAATGTGAGTTCGAAGCGTAAGGATATTGAGCGGCGTGCGATGAGATATGGTGTAAAAATGCAGGTTTCGCATAACCCTCACGTTCGGCCAAGTGTAACCATCCCTCGCCCTCGCTTTCCTTCACCCGGGTCCCACGCTTCCTCTGTCCATCGCCCGCGTCGTCGCCTTCGCTTCCGCAGCCCATCGCATTCGCGGCCCCATCCCGTCGCCTTCGCTTCCCCCGCCCGTCGCCGCCTTCGCTTTCGGATGACCGTTGCCTTCTCTTATCCCGCCCGTCGCCTTCGCTTCTCCCCCCCGTCGCCTTCGATTTCCCCGCGCGTCGCCTTCGCTTCCCCCGCGCGGAGCCTTCGCTTCCCCCGCGCGGAGCCTTCGCTTCCCCTGCGCGGAGCCTTCGCTTCCCCCGCACGGAGCCTTCGCTTCCCCCGCGCGGAGCCTTCGCTTCCCCGCGCGGAGCCTTCGCTTCCCCCGCACGGAACTTGGGGAGGGAGGAGCGGGCAGTGATGCTGGGCAGCTTCCCCGAGGACGAGGCGCGTCTGGGGGGGGACAGGCGGGGGAGGGAGGGGGAGAGGGAGGGCACGCGGGGGGGGGGGCGGGGAGTGTTGGAGCGGAGTGAGAGCTACGACTCTCTGCTGTCAGACATCAGCCGCGTCAGCTCCCTCGCTGAGAGGCGGAGGAGGAGGCGGAGGGGGAGGGGGAGGGGGAGTGGGAGGCGCGCTAGCCATGCCCTTGCTCGTGGGCATGGGCACGGGTGGCGGTGGTGCGATGGAGGGTGCCTCGGGAGCGTACTGGGCGACGGAGGGGAGCAGCAGCATGGGCGCCGGTGGTGCGTCGTCGGGTGCGTTCCTTGCAGTGCAAGGCATGGGGGGCAGCAGCAGCCCCATGGGCGGTCAGCAGCAGGGGGGGATTTCCAGCAGCACGGGAGGGTAACCCTCCGCCCGGCTCTATCCCCCCCTCCTCTGACTCGGCGGTCGCGCTGGCGCCTGCAAGGGCCAGGCTGGTGTTCTCTCAATCCACCTTCTCCCCGCCCTCTCCTGCCTTCACCATTGGCGCCTCGCCCCCGCCTCCTGCACTCACTCTCACTGCTGCGCCTGCTGCTCCTGCTGCCGCCGCTGCTCCCGTTTCTCCAGCTGCAGGCACAGGTGCCGGAGGCAGTGCTGCTGCTGGTGCTGCTGGTGCGTCCGCCCTGCGCAGCCCGGTGGGTCTGGCAGCCTCCCTGGCACCAGCGTCACAGCGCTGCTCCTCGCGACGCCCCTCTGCGCAAGGTGCCTCCTCTGACTCGGCGCGCAAGGGACCCCATGTGCCCGCATCTGCGAGTGCTGGAGGTGCTGGGGACGTGCTGAGGGAGCCGCTCTTGACACGGCAGCAGGAGGAGGAGGAGGAGGAGGGGGAGGGAGAAAGGCGCGCAGCTGGCGCAGCAGAAGTAGCAGCAGTTGTAACTCCTAGAGCAACAGCAACAGCCCGAGCAGCAGCAGCACCACCACCATCCGCACTGCCTTTCGCTCCACAGCTATACATGCCCTTCTGTACCTCCAACCTCCAGCCCTTGCTTATTCGCCATACCCACTCTTCCCTCCCCGTTCTATCACAGAACCATGCTTGTACAGGTGCCCAGCACCATGGGTCCCAACAGGAGTGGGATGGAAAGTTACCACCTTCCAGATTTGTGCATTGTGCCTGTAGTCCACTGGCGACAACTGTAAGGAAGAAAATCTCTTGCTTTGTTGCATTTCATTGTCGTGCTCACGTACATGGCTGCTCCGAGGCCCAAAGTGTTGTATCATGAGAAGCATCCAACATACATGGCATGACTATTTGTCATACCACTATCATCAAAGAGTGAAGGCATCACAGCTACGTAGATACATGGCAGACCTGCACAAACACGAACCACAAAATCTAATGTGCCAAGAGTCGAAGCAGCGGGGAAGGAAACAAAACAATGACAATGCAAGGGCAGGCAGGCAACAAGAAACAAGCCCCTAGAACAAGGTAGGAGTGTATAGGCGTGGCAGGGTAGAAGGGTGCGGAGGAATGGTTGACGAGAGGAAGTGAGGAGGCTGAGAGGAAGGGAGGATGGCAGCGAGGGACGCAGGGAACAGGGAATATGAGGAGGGAGAAATGAGCAAGGGAGACAAGGAGGAAGGGCGGAAGAGAGGATGAGATGAAGGGAGGGAGGAAAGGGGAAAGAGAGGGGAGAAAGACACTGAAGCAGAGAGTAGGGCAGAGGGTGGAAGAGAGGAAGAAAGGAAGGGAGGAAGGGAGGACAGGAGGAAGGGAGGGGGGAGGGAAGAGAGGGAGAATGGGAGGATGAGAAAAAAGGAGGGTGAGACGAAGGGAGGATGAGCGCAAGGGTTGGAGGGTGGAAGGGGAGAAGGGGGGATGGGAGGATGTGAGGATCAAGTTGGGAGAGGACAAGTGGGTGAGACGGAAAGGTGGACTAAAAGAAGCTCGGAAGGTGGCAGTCTGAAAAGAAGAGTGGCAGGGTGGAAGAGAGGCAGGAGGATGAAAGAAAGAGTGGGTGGGAGAGTGGTACGGAGGAGGGAGGCTGGGCGCACGGGCGGACGGGAGAAGTGAAGGAGGGAAAGAGAGAGAAAGAGAGGAGGGAGGCATGGAGAGTGGAAGGACGGACAGGAGAAGGCAAATAAGAGGAAGAGGAGGAAGACGGGACGGCTTCCTGCCCCCCCTCCCCCACTCCCCTGCCCCCCTCCCCAACTCCCCTGCCCCGCCTCCCCCACTCCCCCCTCCCTCACTCCCCTGCCACGCCTCCCCCGCTCCCTTGCCCCACCCCCTCGCCCCCTTGTGCACAGCGCTCCTCACTGCCCGCCTGCACGAGCTTCCCCGGCTGTGTGCGGGGTTGGTGCGAGAGTGAGGAGGAGGTTGCTAAGCTTGCTGTGCTGCCATTGGGTTGTGAGTGACACAGCGTGAGGGGCAGGGTGCGTGCTCCTCGACTCGCACCCCATCAGCTTTCATTCTCCCCTAGCCTTCGCACCACGCACCCTCACACACCCCACAGCGAACAATTCACGACCCCATACCCAGCGCCCAGGCGCCATACATCTCTGCGTTTAGTGTGGGCGAGAAGCAAGGGAGAAGGGAGAATGTGAGAGAATGAGAAGGGTTCAAGTGTGGGGTGGTAACCATGGACGACGGTAGGAGTGGTGAAGGTAGAATAGGGGGAGAGAGAGAGGCGACGTGTGACGAAGAGGGTGAACGTGATAGGCAGGGAAGTGATGACGACGGCGGAGTGTAGGGGAGGGTGGGAGGAAGCGAGGGCGACGGTGGGAGGAAGCGAGGGCGACGGTGGGAGGAAGCGAGGGCGACGGTGGGAGGAAGCGAGGGCGACGGTGGGAGGAAGCGAGGGCGACGGTGGGAGGAAGCGAGGGCGACGGTGGGAGGAAGCGAGGGCGACGGTGGGAGGAAGCGAGGGCGACGGTGGGAGGAAGCGAGGGCGACGGTGGGAGGAAGCGAGGGCGACGGTGGGAGGAAGCGAAAGCGACGGTTGGAGGAAGCGAAGGCGACGGTGGGAGGAAGCAAGGGCGACGGTGGGAGGAAGCGAGGGCGACGGTGGGAGGAAGCGAAAGCGACGGGAGGGGGAGCGTGGTCAACGACGGAGTAAAGTGTGAGCGACAGCTGGAGGAAGCGAGGGCGACGGTGGGGGGAAGCGTGGGGGACGGCGACGGCGACGAGGGGAAGCGTGGGTGGCAGGGTGTGACGTCGACTAGGAAGCGCGGGAGGGGAATGTAGCTGAGGCAAACATAGGGCGAATGCGCGGGAAATGACCGCGATCGAACGTTTGATTACCTATTATCGAGCTCGGAGAGGAGATGCATGCGCCGCAAACTGTCGTTTGCGCGGTCGCGCAGGGTTTCGACGACGACGCTGAGTAAAAAGCGGCGCCATCGCATAGAATCTGTTTGGTGTTTTTTTTTTTTTTTTTTTTTTTTTTTTCGGTGGATTGGGCTCCAGCTCTATTGGCTTTCTGCTCTACCTAGGAGTTTCACGTGACTACTACCGTATGTGGTCGAGCATGACCTGAATTACAACAATTTCCAATCTGAACACAGCTTTCCTTGCCCTACTCCCTTCAGGAGGGAGCGGTTGGGACTCTCGCCAACCAATTTTGGGCTTACGACTCTCTGCAGTTTTGCGGGGCGTCATTTGGTAACCAGAGAGGCTCGGGAAGTCAACTGTGGGCTCGGAAGGCAAACTGTGCACAGTTTGCCTTCCTTTTTTTGTAATTCAGGTCTTGGGCTTTAAGCAGGCCCATATACATACATTCGTGTACCTTGTGTTGTACATTGTTATGTATAAAAGAACATGGCAGTATTTTTCAGTTCCCACAAAAGCTGTCGAGTCAAGTGCGTGGTTTTAACCGGGCTTTTAACCGGGCTCAAGTTCCGGTGCTCCCAAATAAGCATTTGAAACATGGGTGTACAATGCCTCAAATACACTCCAACCAATATTTGACAGTGGGAGGGAAGTCGCTGCAGGGCCCCAGCCTTGGCGATGCTGTTCTACATTTACCACCACTTGGACTCGTTGGAACATTGCTCGACCATGAAGAATACCTTACCATACCATACGATACCAATCCATGAATAATACCTACCATACGAATACCTTAAAGCCCGAGGTCAGCATGGTGGTGGTGGGAGCGCCAATAAGGAGCACATACGGCTTCACATAAACTGAACGGGCCACGCTCCTCTGCTCGACAAGGCACCACAGATGGAAACTGTGTGAGAACATTTCGGAGTCGCCTACTAGAGCAACTGACTGAACGGGTGGTGGTGGGCCTAGTTCCTCTGCCTCTGCTCCACCAGGCACTGCAAATGGAAGCTGTCCGTCCAGGCACCTGGGCGCGACACAGCGCCACGACAGCCCCGACTGACCCCAACACATGACACGCCGAGCACTCTAAGCCGCGATTTGACCCGACTCGAAACCGAGCTGGCCTAGTTCCTCTGCCCCACCAGGCACTGCAGATGGAAGCTATCTGCGCATCTGGGCGTGACACAGCGCCACGACAGGCCTGACCCTGGCACGTGGCACGCAGAGCACACAAAGCCGCGCTGCTGCCGCAGCAGGCGCACGCGGTGGTGCGGGCGGCGCTGGTCCATGGCCTCCACCTGGCGGATGGCGTCTTCCAGTGCGCTGATCTCGGAGAGGAGAGTCTCTGCCTGCTGCCGCAGCTGCTCGTTCACTGCTGAGAGCTCTGTCTGGTAAGGGGCGGAGGGATGGTCAGTGAAGATTGCACAGGATGGGAAAAGTTTGTAAGCGGAGGGATAAGGGATGAGGGATAAGGGATAAGGGATGAGGGATAAGGGATAAGGGATGAGGGATAAGGGATGAGGGATAAGGGATAAGGGATGAGGGATAACGGATAAGGGACAAGGGATAAGGGATGAGGGATAAGGGATAAGGGATGAGGGATAAGGGATAAGGGATGAGGGATAAGGGATGAGGGATAAGGGATAAGGGATGAGGGATAACGGATAAGGGACAAGGAATAAGGGATGAGGGATAAGGGATGAGGGATAAGGGATGAGGGATAAGGGATAAGCGGCGGAAGAGGGATGACGAGGGAGAGACAGGGGGGGAAGGGAGGAGGGAAACTGAGTGGGAGAAAGTGGAAGTGAGCAGGAGATAGGAAGGGAAAGAGAAGGAAAGAGACTGAAAGGGGTGAAATGGTGTTTGGTTGAAGTTCTACAGGCGAGCGTGGGGTAACGCTGATGCACTACGCGACGATGCCGAGAGGCCTGAGAGATGGAGCGTTTCATCAAAGGGGCACATGGGGGTTATAATGCAGGGAAGGAGGAACCATGAGGAATGGGGTGCAGAGAGGGCCTTACAATGTTGGCTGAGAGTGTGGATTGCAAGGTCTGGTACTGAACGATGTTTGAGTGGACTCACAAGGCATGGGGTGCAGGGGGTAACTTACGATGTTGGCTGAAAGTGTGGATTGCAAGGTCTGGTACTGAACGTGTCCTGACTGGATGGCGCCTTGCAGCTGGTAATCACGGGTCAGGGAGGGCAGGGTGGGTGAGAGAGAGGGGCGGAAGGGGGGAGTTTTTGAGGCGCCTGAAAAAAAATGGCCTCGCAGGATGGCACCTTGCATCTGGTTCTCATGGGTCAGGGAAGGCAGGGAGAGAGAGGAGAGAGGAGAGGAGAGGAGAGGAGAGGAGAGGAGAGGAGAGGAGAGGAGAGGAGAGGAGAGGAGAGGAGAGGAGAGGAGAGGAGAGGAGAAGAGATGGGAGGAATGCATATTAGGTTGCAGGTGTGGAGGGGTGGTGGCTGTGATGGCGAGCAGGTAGTAGGTTGTCCAGTGGCAAGGTAGTAGGTAGTGGTAGAAGGTTGTTAGAGGAAAATAAGAAGTTGAGTGAGGCAAGCGAGAAGAGACCGAGGCCCTCCCAGACTGGAGGAAGGCTTGCACAGAAAGCGTCTGTTTGTTCGCTGACGGATGAGATGCGAGATGTATTGAGAAGAGAGGCTTTGTGTGGCGGAGAATACTCTCGAGGATCCTCCGAAATGCAGCGAGGGTCTGAGTCGACTCAAAACACAACTCATGGCGGAGAAATTTGAGGATCGTCCAACATGGTGGGTGATTGAGTGAGTGAGTGAGTGAGTGAGTGAGTGAGTGAGTGACAGCCGGAACTGACCAAGCTGGACATACACACATCTATCCAGCCGTGAAGATAAAACACCATTGAACCCTGCCACTGGGAGCTAACACTTGCCGACCTGAGCCACAACCCAGACACTGTTGAACAGGTGGGTTCCGTGTGCCGTGTGTGGTGTCTCTTCTAGAGGCAGTTGCGGGACCACACAAGGCCAGGCCAGGCCAGGTCAGGCCAGGTCAACACGTGATTACTGATAAGCCTCGAGAAACAACCCACGCCATAGCAGAAGGCAAGCATCTTCAGAACCAGAGCATCCAAACCAAACCACCCACCTGCTCCACTGCATGCGCCTCTGCCATGCCACTTTTGAGGCACCACAAGAACAGGTTCCGCCACACTCACCTGCCACACCGCATCACCCACCTCCCTCTCGCGCGTCTTGAGCTGCATGACCACCCCCTCCATCTCCCTCACCCGCTCCTCCGCCTCCTCCTTCTCCCTCTGCACGCCCAGCATTTCCGGCCCTGCTGAGGCTCGCAGCCCCTCCAGCTCCTTCTTCTCCCGCTCCACCACCGCTATGTGCAGCCGCGCGCGCGCCACCTCCTCCGCGTGCTGGGATGGGGGGACAAGGATGTTAAAACTATATATTGTGTAGCATGCCAACACATGTGACTGTACACCAATTGTGGTGTACAGTTGGGTTGGGACTACACCCAACTTTGGGTGTAGTCTTGCACTTTGGGGTGCCAATCCGCCCAATTGTGGTGGAGCCCCCAAATGCAACCCACTTGGCTTATGGGTGCCTCACTTCCCACAAGTGAGGTCACCTCAAGCCAAGTGGGCCTAGGGTTGCTTCACTTCTACAAAGTGTGGGCAACCCAACCCACTTGACCCATGGTAGCCTCACTCCCCCAAGTAAGGTCAACCCAACCTATGGTCACCTTCACCCTTCTCTTCCAAGCCTCTCTTCCAACTATGTATGCTAGGTTTCTCCTCTAATGAAGTTACTTGTTCAATTTGCAACTTTCACGAAGGAGCCGAGTGTGGGGAAGAGAGAGCGGGTGGAAGTGGGGGGGAGGCTGGTGGGCATAGGCTCTCAGCCCCTCCAGCTCCTTCTTCTCCCGCTCCACCACTGCTATGTGCAGCCGCGCCCGAGCTACCTCCTCTGCGTGCTGGTGGGGAGGGATGGGGGGAGGGAAAAGAGCGGAAGTGTGGGGGAATCGGTGGGCTTAGGCGACTTTGCCCCGCCAGCTCCTTCTTCTCCCGCTCCACCACCGCTATGTGCAGCCGCACGCGCGCTACCTCCTCCGCGTGCTGGTGGGGAGGGATGGGGGGACGAGGGGACGCAGGGGAGGGGGGAGTGGGGGGCGACAACGGGCAGGAGTGGAGGGACAGCCGGCTGGATTGGGTTATCTGCCCTCAGCTCCTTCTTCTCCCGCTCCACCACTGCTATGTGCAGCCGTGCACGTGCCACCTCCTCCGCGTGCTGGTGGGAAGGGATGGGGGATAGAGGTGCCGGGGGGAGGAAGGGGAGAGAGCAGGAGTGGGGGAAAATAAACGGCGAGTACAGGTAAAACCGCACTTCCAACTCCTTCTCTCGCTCCGCCACTGTTAGGTGCAGCCGTAACCGTGCCACATAGCAGGGGGAACGGGGGGAACGGGGGGGAGGCGGAAGTGGGAGAAGGTGGAAACGGGGGAAGGGGGGGAGGAGGGGAGGGGGGGACCAGGGGATAAAAATAATGGTGCTGGTAGGTTGAGTTGAGTGCTCCCTCCTGCCATGGGAGAGCAAGAGAACAGGAGATAGGGAGGGGATGGGGAATGCAGGTCTGGACACTCACCGTAAAACAAAAGTATTTGCAACCCTCATTCCCTCATTCCCTCATTCCCTCATTCCCTCATTCCCTCATACCCTCATTCCCTCATCCCCTCATTCCCTCACAACTCCCACTCCCACTCCCTCTCACCCAAAACTTACTCCAGTCTTCCGTCCCCCCAACTAGTGCACGCCGCTCTGTTATTCAGGCAACTCAAAATCGCCTCACTACCCTTCCCGTTCACTCTAGCCCTCCGGCCTTTCCCCCCACCAGTTCGCGCTGCTCTGTCTCCTGGCGAGCCACCTCCCGGTCGTCCTCCAGCTGCCAGTCCTTCCCCTTTTCCCTCGTGCCCACAGAACCACCACACCCTCCCTCTTATCCAGCGCCCCTCCCGCCTTTCCTCCCACCAGTTTGCGCTGCTCTGTCTCTATTCGAGCCACCTCCCGGGCATCCTCCAGTTACCTCTCCGCTACTGCCAGTCAATTCCTATTTCCCTTGTTCCCATACAAACACCACACACGCTCCCTCTCATCCAGCGCCCCCCCCTCCCCTCCCTTTCCAACGCACCAGTTCGCGCTGCTCTGCATCCCGGCGAGCCACCTCCCTGGCATCCTCCAGCTGCCGCTCCGCTGCTGCCAGCCATTCCCTTCTTCCGTCATTCCCACAGAACGATCACACCAGCTACCAGTCACACAGCACCCCCACTCTCTGTTTCCCCCTCACCAGTTCGCGCTGCTCTGTCTCTCTGCGAGCCACCTCCCGGGCATCCTCCAGCTGCCTCTCCGCTGCTGCCAGCCGCTCACTCGCCTCGTCCAGCTCTGCGTCCTTGCGGTCCTGCCACGTCGATGGGGAGGAGGTGGTGGAAGGAAGAGAGGGGAGTTTTCAGCCCACAGATGATTCATCCAGCTCTCGCTTCACATGCCAGCCGCTCACTCGCCTCGTCCAGCTCTGCGCCCTTGCGGTCCTGTCATGGCCATGGGGAGGGTGGGGAGGAGGAGAGGAGGAGAAGAAGGGTGGGGAGGAAGAGAGGAGAAGAAGGCGGGTGGGTAGAAAGAGAGTAGGAGAAGAAGGGAGGACTTTTGAGCCAACTTATGATTCCTCCAGCCGTCTCTCCACTGCTGCCAGCCGCACGCTCGCGTCATCCAGCTCTGCATCCTTGTGGTCATGTGATGGCGACGAGGGGGAAGAGAAGGGGGGGGAAGAGAAGGGGGGGGGGGGAAGAGAGGGAGGGAGAGACGAGGGAGAGCGATGAGGGTGAGGGCGGAAGAGGAAGAGAAAAGGGATGGGAAAGAGTGGGGGACGGGAGGGAGAGATATTGAGAGAGGGGAGGGCAGTCATGCTCCAGCGCAGCCAAGCGAACGCCTTGCACGCAAAGGCACGGGCAGGCATTGAAGCGGCACACCCGCAGGCTCCGGCGGACCCCTGGCCCCTGCAGCTAGGGGACCTCCTCCACACCCTGGAGTAAGGGGAGGTGCTAGGGGGCGGGTAGATGTAGAGAGGTGTATTTGCATGTCCAACCTTCTGCTCTCCGTTGACCTTCTCGCTTGTACCAATCAACGTATTAATACAAAGGACCGTTCGGGGAGGGCAGAGGGAGGGGCATGGAGAGATTGAGAGTGCGAGCTACAGCAGAAGCATGGAGAAAGGGTTGAAAGTGACAGGGTCGGGTGCTGTTGGGTTGGGGAGGAGCATGCCTTTGCGTCTAACGAGGGAGGGAGAGAAACGGGGAAAGGGAAGGGGTGAGGGAGGGAGGGACTGACTTGGATCTGGTGCTACAGTCGAAGAATCAAAGGCGTGTGGTTGGTTGTGTTGATTCACAAGGCATGGCAGCAGCAAGATCCGCCTTCTTCTCACCAGTGCGGCTCGGAGCGAGTCGATCTGCTGCTGCAGCATGGCAGAGCCGTCAGAGACTGCATGGTCCGCGGACGCCTGTAATATCATGCTCCGTGCCGAGAGGCGAGGGGAGGCGGGGCGAGGCGGGGAGAGGCGAGGCGAGGCGGGGCGGGGCGAGAATTTTTTAGTGGGGGCGGAAGGGGAGTGATAGAGAGGAGAGAAGAGAAACCGGAGAGGAGAAAGAGGAGGGGAGAGTACGTGGGATGGATTTGGAACATGATAGTGCATGGTGAGTGCACTGCATTGACATGACATGACATGACATGACATGACATCCAGTGCAGTGCAGTGCAGTGCAGTGCATCAAGGAAGCATTCCCTTGAGCCTTGGATTGGCACTCAAGGCTGTCATGGGCTTGCTCTGGCTGACGAGATTGCTTAAGCCTAGCCTACTACACGAATGCATCTCACTGAGAAATGTCTGAACATGGGTTTGCTCATGTTCAGTAGCAGTAGCAGGGACTACGGCAGCAGACACAGTGACAGGAAGGAGGAGCAGAGTAGGCATACCAGCACTTGTGCCTGCAGGTCCCCCTGCACTGTGGCGAGCCTGGTCTTGAGATAGTCACACATCTTCTCACTCTGCATGCGAAGTAAGGCATACCAGTTTCAATGCAAGTCAATTCACGCAACAACAACACAATTCCATCAGTCAGAGCAAGCAATGCAGGTCAGTGTGGGAGTGCGATACGACCCCAGTGGGCTAAAATATCCAGAACAAGACAGACAGGGACGCACCGTATTAAACCCCAGTATTGTTAACCCCCAATTCTCAATCCTGGGTCCATGCCCATCACCTCGTGTGATGAGGCGATTTTTGAGTCGACTCAAAATCGCCAATTCTCAATCCTGCCTTGGTCCCTGCCCATCATCACCTCTCTACTCTTCTACCACAATTCACCATCACTCAAGTTTCACACCATCTCTCTTCTACTCCACACGTAAGAACTCCCATTACCACTTTCGCACAGCCTTTCCATTCCCTTCGTACCATCCCTCAATCAAGTTTCAAAAGTTCCACGTCACACACACACACCACTTCCCTGCTCTCATCTCCTCATCCCCTCACACTCTCCCGACCATCTCTCCCGCCCCTCACCTCCCTCTCTCCTCTCCTCCCCTTTAATCCTCTCCCCCCTCCCCTTTTCCTCACCCCCATCCCTCTCCCCCCACCCTCTCCCCTCCAACCCCCCCACCTCATGGAAGTCCGCTTCAGTGCGGCACAGATCAGCCTCTAGGTTCTCCACCGCTGCTCCCTCTTGCCACCTCTTCCACTCACCTTCTCCACTCTCCCTCGCCCTTCCCCCCACCCGTCACTTCATGGAAGTCCGCTTCAGCGCGGCACAGAGCAGCCTCCAGGTTCTCCACCACCGCTGCTGCCTTTGAGGCGCCTCGGAAATGATTGCCGTGCAGAACAGCCCTCCCCTTTACCCTCCCCTCAGTGCAGGTCTTAGTGTAATCCCCTTTACCCTCCCGCCCTCCCCCTTCCACTCCCCCCCCCCCTCCCCCCCCCCCCCACCTCATGGAAGTCCGCTTCAGTGCGGCGCAGAGCAGCCTCCAGGTTCTCCACCACTGCTGCTTTCTCCTGCACCTCTTTCCCTCACCTCCTTCCCTCTCTCTTCTCGCCTCACCTCCTCCCCCCTCCCTCTCCCCTCACCCCCGTCACCTCATGAAAGTCCGCTTCAGTGCGGCGCAGAGCAGCCTCCAGGTTCTCCACCACCGCAGCCTTCTCCTGCACGCTCTGCTGCAGCCCTGCCAGCATGCCACGTGCTGCTTCTGCCTGTACAGGGAGGGGAGAGGAGGGGGGCAGAGGGGAGAGGAGCAGAGATCAGGGGAGCAGAGGGGAGGGTGGGGAGGGGAGGGGATGGGAGGGGAAGAGATGGAGTGGAAGGGGAGGGATGGGGGGGTTGGTGGAGGAGGGGGGTTTGGAGGGAGGTTGTTGGATGATAAGATGCTCCGAAAGCCGATTGACAAAAAGGTACTCTACCGCTGCTGCCTTCTCCTGCACGCACTGCTGCTGCGTAGTACAGCTGGGGAAGAAAAGAGGTGGATGAGTGGGGAGGGAGGGGAGGAGGGGAGTTGGATAACACGTGCTGCTGCTGTTTCTGCACCTGCTGCTGCAGAGTGCAGTGCAGCATAACGGACACTGCTACTGCTTCCGTCAGAAAAGACTCTGTTAATGCAACAAATGAAACGGAACATTGGATCGGAAGAAATTTGGCACTGCATGCATGCATCCTTCCCCGTCCCCGCCCGTCCCTCACAACCAAAACGGAGCCCTCCCTTCCCAGGTCCCGCCAGCCTCCCTCACCCCTCTTGCAGAATCCCAACCGCCATTTCCCCCACCTCACCAGCCCCGACCTCCCCACACACCCAACCTACAAACCCTCCCTCCCTCCTCCCATCTCCCTCGTCCCCCATCCCTGTTCTGCAGGGATATTTCAAACATAATAAAGAGGTCCCGTCCCGTCCCGTCCCCCACCTGCTCAACTTTCTCGCGCTTCTCTTCCACTGCCGCCTGCAGCACAGCACCCAGAGATAGTCTCTTGGAGCACAAAGAGATAGATTCGACTTGGATCCAACGGTCCTAACTCGCTCTATTCTACTTTAGGCTGAGTTGAAGCTTAGTAGGGAACGAATAGGTAAGAAGCTTGTCATTCAAACCTGAGCGTACGCGTTTCGGCCAGTGGCCTTCATCAGCGCTCTTTTTTTTTTTTTTTTTTTTTTTTTTGCAAAAAAACGGGCGCATTGTCGCCCCGAGTCAAGTCGCTACACAAGAGGGGCGGAGAAAGAAATGTCTCCAAACCCCCCAAGGGTCAAGATTTGATTCGTGGGGTGGCTTACCACCCCACCTGACCCTGACTTCCAGGGTCAGAGGAGCCTGATTGGTCAGGCTCCTCTACCTCAGCAGGACTGAGGTAGAGACGGTAGACTCGTCCACCGTCTTTAGGATGGACTTGAGTGACGTCCATCCTATTGGTCCAGAACGCTTCGAAACGTTCTAGATCGGCTAACTGATCTTCTTCAGTTAGCTCTTCACCCTCATCGAGGGTTTCAGTCAACTGTGTCCAGTTGATGGCACCTTGGTCGACCAAGGTGCGGAAAGGGGCCCAGCCCCTCTCCTGACAGAGGTCTTCGACTTCTGTCATTCTACCATATAGGTAGACGTCCTGGGGTACAACCAGGACGAGGGGGGTCTCCTTTGGACCGCCCCTCCATGGCACGTTTCGTGACATGAGTCGAGCTAGCTGACCTGCTAGCTTGACGTCCCCTGATACAAGTATCAGGGTCTGTGGGATATCATTACCCCACTTGTCTACCTGCCATAGCAGGTATGCATCCGAATCCACGTACATGTGGAGACGGTCCAGGATCCACTGTGGTGGATCTTGTCTCTCCTTAATATAGGAGATGAAGTCCTCCATGGTTTCGGAGGACAAGCACTCGCCACTAAAGTTGATGAGTGCTTCACCCAACTCTTTTCTTGGAGTTGGTGTGAGGGAGTTCAATCGATTGAAATCCCAGCCGAGACTAGCATGGTCCCGACTTGTTACACGGTCACGTATGACCATGTAATTGTATGAGTTCTTAAATTGGAACCCATACTCCTTCCAATGATATAGGAAGTAGTCCCACTGAACATGTGGGTCTGGCGTGAACCCTTCATGGTATTCACGCACCGGGGTGAGTTTCACCTCCGGAGGATCTTTTCCTCGAAAGATCTCGCGCCAATAATATTGGCGCCATAACCGGAACATTGTTTGCTCCGCTTCTCTTCCACTGCCGCCTGCAGCACAGCACCCACCCACCCACACCTCCTCCTCCTTGCCCTCCTTTTGAGGCGCCTCAAAAACCCACCTGCTCAACTTCCTCGCGCTTCTCTTCCACTGCCGCCTGCAGCACCCGCACCTCCTCCTCCCTGACCTCCACCTCCGCCCTCAACCCCTCCTCCCTCTCCCTCGCCCGCTCCGCCTCCTCCTCTGCTGCGCGCACTCTCCCCCTCAGCGCCTCTAGCTCTGCTTCTAGCTGCTCCGCCTGCTCTCCTTGCGCCTGCAGCTGCTCCACTCGCTGGTTCGCCTCATCCTGATGGCGGAAGGAGAGATGGGAGAGGGAGAGACAGATAAGTCTGTGACGTTCTCATCATAGCTGCTTCTCCCCCTCAGCACCTCTAGCTCTGCTTCTAACTGTTCCGCCTGCTCCCCTTGCCGCTGCAGCTGCTCCACTCGCTGGTTCGCCTCGTCCTGATGGACGCACGAGAGGGGGGAAGATGGGGAGGAAGAGGGGGAGAGAGCGAGGGGAGAGAGAGGCGATAGCGAGAGGTGGAGCGGCAGAAAGAGACGACAGGGGCACCATTCTTGACAGGAGATAGCTGCCTCTCCAATTCACTTTCTTTGAACCACACCCTTCAGAACGTTCTGAGTTCCTTCCTTTACAGTGCATCATTCCCTCCCTCGATCTTCCCTGCCCTCCCTCGTTGTTCCTTGGCTTTAAAGTCCATCATGCTCCTCTGAGATTTGAGATAAGTCAAGCTTTCACGTACCAGTTCCTGTCTCGCCTTCTGCCTTGCTTCCTCGGCCTCCAACAACTGCCTCTGCAGCTCGTCCACACTGCTCTGCGCCTGCCATGCCACATGGATTCCATTCCCCCATCATGCCACCCACACGCACACACAAACACACCATTGGCAGAAGACAAGCCAAATATTTCAGGCCATGGCAGAGTATTTCGTTCCACACACACAGAGCGATTGCAGAATGTTGCGGACTTGCTTGCACTGGGCGAGACATTATCAATCAGATGAGGATTCGAACAGTGGGCTGACTGTGCAGTGCATGCAGCGCACGCACGGCGCACCTCTTGCTGCATGCGTGCCTTGAAGTCGTCTGCGTCTGCCACCATGCGCTCCAGGTTGCGCTTCAATGACTCCACCTGCTTCTCACTCTGTGCCATGCAATGCACCGCACACACACACACACACGGGAGAGATGGGGCGGGGACGGGTCAAGGGGCTAGAGTAGTGGCAAGAGAAGCCAGGCGCATAGAGCTACCAGTGTGGAACAAGCGGTCGTTATGGGGGATGGAGAGACGAGAGCAATGGGCATCAGAGATGTGAGGAGAGAGAGAGAGATGCTAGTGGGCAGATTTGAGACTGTAGTAACTCTGATCAGACACAGACTCTGACCCAGATTCAGAAGGTCAGCGAAGAAAGCATGGTAAGCCTTCTCGCGAGTCCCTAACAACCCTCTCTCCAGATTCCCTTGCAGCACCAGAACGTGTCATGCTTGCTTGCACGTGGCACACTTGCAAAGCTGAACGGCAGCAACACAGCACCTGCTACATTCTCTCGCTCGCACGCACCTCATCGTAGCTCCTCTCCCACCGCTCAAACGACTCCTCGTTCTCCTGCAGCTGCCGCCTCTGCTCCTGCACCTGCTGCCGCAACCGCTGCACCTGCTCATGTTGTCAGGATGGTGCGGGAGATGATGATGGAACGGTGGTAGTGACAGGGAGAACGATGGTGATACTGACTCTGATAATGAACGTGATAGTGACGGTGGTAGTGATGGCGATTGGCAATGCTAGGGATGGCAGTATGTCCGAGAGAGAGGAGGGACTCAGGGGAGAGCGGGGCGAGGGGTGAGGGGTGAGGAACTCTGCAGGGAAGGAATGTGCCGTGGTGACGAGCCGTGTGACAGCATCGTTTACTCCTCCACTCCACATGGCACGTGCTGCCTGCCAGCAACAACACCACATGCCAAATACTCATCTCACCCTACCTTTCAGCCATCTCCCCCCCCCCCCCCCCCCCCTCTCTCCTCCCCCCTTTTTCTCTCACCTCATCATCAGCATCAGCACCATTGGCATTGTGGTCTGCTACACCAAGACCACCCGTCGCGGCTGTTGCTGCCGCCGCAGCAGCAGCGGCAGTGGCAGCCTGGACTCTCTCCTCCGCCTCAACCACAGCAGCCCTGCTGGCATCGAGCTGCTGCTCCAGCTCCCCCCTTTCCTCCTCCAGCTCCGTAACCCGCTGTTCCTGCTGCTGCAGCTGCTCCTCCAGAGCCGTGATCCGCTGCTGCTGCTCCTGCACCTTCCCCAGCAGGTCCAGTATCGCACCCTCCTGCTCCTTCACGCGCTCCTCCTGCTCTTTCAAGCGGTCACCCTGAGCCCATGCGCTTGTGTCTCTCTCCTGCTCGTGCTGATGATTCCCGATGTTTGGTGTGTGAGCGAATGAGGAGGAAGGGGGTACGTGGGGAGAGGGGGAGCGGAGGGACAGCACGTTATAGGTGATGATGCTGCATGTGCGAAGGACATTGCATTGCGTGTGGATGCCTCAGGGAGGAAGTGAGGGAGCCATGCAATACTACTCGTTGCACAGCGCAATACTACTCGTGTATCAGCAGCACTGCATGTCTTTGTGTCGTGGCTCACTGCTACTACTCGTGCTGGTGATGTTGGTTGGTGTGTGTACGAAAGATGATGCGACGCATGAAGGGATGATGGATGCTTACGGCCAAACGGGACGCACACAAGCAAGCAACGGAACTGACCTGCTGGTCGAATTGCGAGCCACTGAATCCTCCCACCACCTCCCAACCCTCCTCTCCCCTCCTGCTCCCAATGCTGCTCGCCACACTGCCGCTCTTGAGCATTGCCTCTCTTGCCGCCAGCTGCTTCTCCTTCTTTTCCAGATCTTTCTCCCACTCCACCACCTCTACCTCCCTCTCCTCCACCTCCTGTGCCTTCTTCTCGCTCTCCCTCACTCTCTCATCTGCCTCCCTCACTCTCTCCTCAGCCTCCCTCACTCTCTCCTGCAGCTCCCTGCATCTCTCCTCCTCCTCTCTCAGCCGTTGCTCCAGATCCATTAGCTGCCGCTGTTGCTCCAGGATAGTCACTGTGGAGGAGGAGGCTGCTGCCCCTGCCTCCTCCTCCATCCCTCCCCCTGTCCCTCCTCCTACACTCTCAACACCAGACAGTGATGAAGTCTCGCTGCAATCGCCCTGTTGGTGTATGCATGAACACAGGGGGTGATGAGTGGAGGTCGGTACGTTCAAGGGGCGAGAAGACAAAGTTGAAGAGAGCGCGGGAGCAAGAAAGTGATTAACCGCCCCTAAATCTCCATTCATATACACCTTTCACCGTGTGTTTTTCGAGAATTCTCAAAAAACACACGCTGTCTCATAACGTCCTCCTTGACACTTGAATCATTCTTCCTTGAAGGGTTTCAGTTTAAACATACATGAATATAACACCCCCTTTCACATAACTCGTTTTTTTTCGAAAGCAACCGCCCGGTCCACCCCAGCCCCAATCTTCTCTCCCCATTTTACTTTCTCCATTGCTCACCGTCTGTGTGCGGGCAGTGTATCCCAGCTCCTCCTCCACCTCCTGCATGTGCTACAACACCCCCCAGCAAGCACGCCACCCCTCACTCCACCCACCATACCCCGCCACCCACCATTCGTCTCTCTCTCTCCCCCCCCTCACCGCCTGTCCGCGGGCAGTGCGGCGCAGATCCTCCTCCATCTCCTGCATGTGCTGCAATGCAACACCCCCCAGCACGCCAAGTTGCCAACCCACCCTCACGTCACCCACCATGCCTCCCCACCCACCAGTCGCCCCCCTCTCTCTTCTTTTCCCTCTGTCGGCTCACCGTCTGTGTGCGGGCAGTGCGGCGCAGGTCCTCCTCCATCTCCTGCATGTGCTGCAGCAGTTGCGCCTTCTCTTCTTCCAGCCGCTCCCCCTTCATGCGCGTTGCTGCCAGCTGTCTCACATCGGGGGAGGAAACGGAAGGTGCAGGGGGTTGGAGATTCGGGGGTGGGGGGTGGGGGCGGGGAAGAAAGGGGGGGCAAGGAAGGGAAGAGTGTAGCAGCACTGAGACCATAGCGCCTGCATCACCAGTACTCATTCCCCATTTTCCATGTCAGACGCCCCTTGTTCCCGCTCCACGCAGCAGCTGCGCAGTGCACCTAGCAAATTCAAAGCATCACCGCAAAGCCCCCTCCCTACTTCCGCTTCCCCTTGCCTCGCTCTCTCCGTCTCCCTACCCCAGTTCTTCCCCCTCCCTCTCTCCCTGTTCTTCCCCACCGCTCTCCCTTTTTTCCCCCTCTCCCCCTCTCCCACTTCCCCCCCCCCTCCTCCAATCTCACACCAGCAATGAGGCGCAAGATGGGCACTTGTGAGAGCGGGAGTTTATCCAGAGTGCGTTACAGGCGCACCACTTTTGAGAATTCTCAAAAGTCATACAAATATACCTGCCCTTCCACTCCACCTTCACTGCAACACCATAACCACCCAGCCCAACCCTCATTCCTCTCACGCCACATTCCAGCATCAAATCTCCCCTCTTCTTCCCCCACCTCTTTCCATTTCCCCTCCCCGCTCTTCCTCTCCCTCTCTCCTCCCTCCCCTCCCTTCCCCAACTCACGTCTGCAATGAGGCGCAAGCGGGGCACTTGCGACAGGCGGAGCTTATCCATGGTGCGTTGCAGGCGCCCCACCTATCCTTCCACCTCCACCTTCTCCGCCCTCACCACCACACCAGCATCACCAACCCTCATTCCTCACACCACACGCCAGCATCTAATCCCCTCTCTCCTTCCCCCTCCCCTTCCCCATCTCTCTCCACCGCCTCTCTCCATCTCCCCTTCTCCCCCTTCCCACCTTCCCCAACCAATCTCACGTCGGCAATGAGTCGCAGGCGGGGAACTTGCGAGAGGCGCAGCTTATCCATGGTGCGCTGCAGGCGCCCCACCTGCCCTTCCACCTCCACCTTCTCCGCCCTCAGAGCCCGCATCTGCATGTGCACACTCGCCCTCTCCCTCTCTGCGTGCACCTTTGCCTCCTCCAGCAATGCATTGTCCTGCAGCGCTGCTGCCTGGGGATGGGGGAACGGGGAGGGAAGGTGGAGATATGGGGGACAGGGTGTGCAGCAGAGATGGGGATGGAGGGGAGGTGGTGGGAGGTGGGGGGGAGGAGGGGGAAGGGGTGGAGGGAAGGGGGAAGCAAAGCAGTGGGAAAAGGATACGCGGAGCGACTTGTGATTTGAATCAGATCAGAGGGCATCTGCTTGTGCAGGCTCGCCCGCTCTCTCTCCTCTCTGCTCTCCTTCTCCAGCAGTACGTTGTCCTGCAGTGCTGCTGCCTGGAAGTGGGGAAGGGTTTGGGAGGGAGGGGAAGGGAAGTGGGGACGTGCAGGTTCGCTCTCTCTCTCTCTCTCTCTCTCTCTCTCTCTCCTCTCTCTCTCTCTCTCTCTCTCTCTCTCTCTCTCTCTCTCTCTCTCTCTCTCTCTCTCTCTCTCTCTCTCTCTCTCTCCCCTCCGCGCGCACTTTTGCTTCCTCCAGCAGCACGTTGTCTTGCAGTGCTGCTGCCTGGTGGGGTGGGGCGATGGGAAGAGGTGAGAGGAGGGGCTGGGAAAGAGGATGAGACAAGAAGGGGCGCGAGACAACGGGGGCGAGAGAAAGGTGGTGGGGGGGTTGGAGGGGGGGAAGGGAGAAAGGGAGGGGGGAGAGGGGAGATAAGGGGAAAAAAGTCCCACCTGCGCATGCAACCCCCACGCCACCCCCACGCCCACGCCCACGCCCACGCCCACCCCCACGCCCACGCCCACGCCCACGCCCACGCCCACGCCCTCTCTCTTCCCCAAACCCCCCCACACACGTAGAGAGAGCACAAAGGTACGTACCAGGCGCTGCCTGGCACTGTCTGCTGCTGCGAGTGCCTCCAGTAGCTTCTCCTCCACCTGCTGCGCTCCCTGCAGACTGTTGCTGCTGCGCTGCTGCTCCTCCTCCTGCCGTGAGCATGATACACGAGAGTGCCACACACAAGTGGGCAGGAGGTGGTAATGGGAGGGAGGATGGGCGTGGGAGGAAGGGGGAGGAGAATGGGGAGGCGGGGAGGAGGGGAGAAAAAAGGGAGAGTGGAGGGGGGGGAAGAGAGGGAGGATAGAGTGAGGGCTGGAGAAAAATGGAAAGGAGTGAGAGGCTAAGGGAGAGATGGAGGGCAGGAATTGTTCCAATACTTGCTCTCGTTTGTGCTTGTGTGAAGTGAACCAGCAACAGCAGAGATAAGCGTCAAGTCAAGTCAAGGAATCAAACGGAACATCAAAAGCAGCAGGAGCAGACAAGCATGCAAAGAGACGCGGGGCAGGGCAGGGTAGGAGGAGAGATTAAGAGACTGACCAGTTGCCTGCGCAGCCCCTCACACTCGAGGTACAGCTGCCGTGACTCGCTGTTGGCCTGCAGGGCGCAGAGGGGGTCACATCACACGGACCATCCGAGAGCGAGGAAGAGGAACGGATAGGAGCAGAGCACACACACGCACAGAGGGAGGGAGTGGGATGAAAGCATGTGATAACTAGCTGCCAGCCTCTAAACCACAGAAAACGAGACTCTGGAGAGCAGATCCGAGAGGGGAAGCACATGGGGCTGGGGCTGTGATGCCCTTGCTTGCACTGCCACATCCACACAAACCTGCATGCAAGCAACCTGCCTGCAACCTGCCTAAGTTACCCTGCACCACCAACGCACCACCACCGTTCCCCACTGCACTGCAAGGAAGCAAGCAAGCACTCACGTCCTTGGCCCTCTCCTCTGCTGCCTCCAGCAGCCCCTGCAGCCGCTGCAGCTCCCGTGCTTCCGAGTAGGAGGAGGAGGAGGTGGAGGAGGAGGAGAGGTTTCCTGGCATGACGGGGGGGCGACTGGCTGCCTGGTGCGTGCAGGAGATGGGGGATGGGGGATGGGATGGGACAGCGAGTCAGAGAGGGTGGGTGTTGGGGAACAAAAGGGACGAGGCAGGGTGGGAGGCGAAGATAGAAGATATATTGGCAGGAATGGGGAAGGATTGGCGGAGGGTGCGAAGTCGAGGAGGAGAGAGAGGAATGGGGGCAAGAGAAGGAGAAGGGGGCGAAGGAGACAGTGAGGGGAGCGAGAAGAAGGGAACACAATGCGAAGTGACAGGAAGAGTAGACTGGCAAAGAAACGAAACAGCACACTGGGACACTTTTCTGGGTTCCATGGACGGTTCAAAGTCGAAGAAACAGAACTTAAATCAGATGAAAGATAAGCACAAGCTAAGGGCGAGAATGGAAAGGGGGAGGGAAAGGTGGCAGTGGGGGAGGGGGGGGGGGGGGAAGGGGCAGGAGGTGGTGGAGAGAGGGGGGGGGAGGAGGCGAGGAGAAGAGGGCAACGGGAGATTGTGTGCATGTGGTATATTGTTTCAAGGAAATGATTGCTCCAGGGCTGCACAGCTTGCTCATTGAGAAACTCAATAAAGGTTTGTACGGCATGCTACTCGTTTCTGAATCGTTCCATCTGGTTCTTCAGCCAACTCCTAGCAGGAGTTTCCTACTTGAATGCATCCCATCCCAGCCACCCCCACACGCGCTTTCCTTTCTCAATCCCCTCTAATCTTCCCCCACGCTCCCTTCCCTTCCCCTCTCCCAAGAGCTCATGCCCTTTCTGCCTGCACGCTTGCTGAACGGCTTACCTCCCTTTGGAGCTTTGCCAGCTGCCTTTCTGCCTGCATGCACGCATGCATACATACACATATAGAAGGACGACAACAACACGCATGCATACATACACATATAGAAGGACGACAATAACACGAGCGAACACAGCACCGAAGAGGACCAGACCACAGAGCACCGCAGAGAACAGCACACATCAAATGGTGACATGCATGTTCGTATTTTCACATGGCAATGCACGTACACTCAGAACCATGGCCGTGCACATGTGTACGCACGCACGGACACACACACGCACACCCATACGCACATACAAATGAATGCATGGGGTTTACGGAAAACAGAAAACACAGCCAGGATTGGGACACCTTCAGAAAAAGAATGCGTTTTTTCCAGGAAAGAACGAGTTTAAGGAGGGCATGAGTTTGAGGAGAGGAGAGAATGCGTTTAAGAAAATGTGATTAACAGGGAGACACGTATAGTGACACCTTCAGAAGGAAAACAGCGATGAAAGTGAATCTGTGACGGAACCAGTCCCACATGCATGCATGCACTCACTCGTGCATGCAAGCATTCATGCTTCCACCCACCCACTGCACAGCCCTCTCCTGCACACTCGCTCACTAACCAGCACTCTTCCCCTACACATGCACTCACACCAGCCTAACCCACTCCACCATCCCCCCATCCACTCCACAACCCACACCTCCCCAACACACTCCTCCCCCACAACCCGCCCTCCCCTGTCTCCCCACCCCAACCCACCATGGCAAGGGCATCATCAAGCTGCTGAATCTTCCCTCTGGCAGCCTCCAGCTCATCTCCACGGTGGTCCAGCTTGCCTGTCAGCAGCACCAGCGCCTCCCGATGCACCTGCAGTGACTGGTCACACTGCTGCAGCGCTGCCTGGGTTGATGCCAGTGCCTGCTGCTGCTGCTCCGCCTGGGATGGGTCGAGAGGGGGTTGCTGGAAGGGAGGGAGTGAAGGGGCGGACGGAGGGTTTGGGGGATGGGAGAGGGATGGATGGAGGAGGTGGGAGAAAAGGAATGAGGATGGTGGGAGGAGAGGGAGGGAAGGGAAGGTAGATGTGTCAGAGACTCAGAGGTTGGTTGAGGTGCTCATCCCCACGGTGGTCCAGCTTGCCTGTCAGCAGCACCAGCGCCTCCCGATGCACCTGCAGTGACTGCTCGCACTGCTGCAGCGCTGCCTGGGTTGACGCCAGTGCCTGCTGCTGCTGATGATGATCCGCCTGGGATGGGTCTAGCGGGGGTTGCTGCGGAGGGGATGGGGTGAGGGAGAGGGAAAGGGGGACAGGAGGAGAGGAACGGAGAGCGGAGGTAAGGGAAGGTAGAAAATCTGTTGCAGGTTGGCTGGCGGGGTGCTCGAGTTGACATGACACACAATAGCAACGGAGGAAGCACGGGAATAGGGTCGTCCAGCAGTCGGATCGGGAGCAGGAGAGGGGCATGAAGGATGGGGAGGGGAGGTTGTCGAGGAGGGCGGTGCGGTGCAGTGCGATGCGGTGTGGTGCAGTGCGGTGCGGAGCAGAGCGCGTACCGAAGGGGAGCGCAGCATGCTGGGGGGTTGCGCTCCCGTCTCTAGGAACGTCACTGGCAGCTGCTTGCGCCCCAGCAACCCAGAGTTTGGGCCATTAGCCACCTGGAGCCGCAGTGGGAAGCGGTGGAGGAGACGAAGGGGGAGAAGGGAGAAAAAAAAGGAGAAGAAACGAAGGAAGCATTTAAAGGAGCTGGAGGAGGTGGTAGGTTTCGGGTTTAGGCGTCTCAGGGGAGAGGGGATGAGTGAAGAATGGGAGAAAGGAGTCACAGGATATAATCCAGGCATTTATCCAAACGCAGAGAAGTGTGTCAAGCCATGCGTCAAGCAGTGCATGCGTGCATGCGTGCGTGCATGCGTGCGTGCGTGTGTGTGTGTGTGCATGTGTGAGGAGCTGACCTCGCCCACGGTGGCAGCAGCATACACCTCCAGCTGGAACGAGTCGGTGGGGAACCAGAAGGGCCGCTTCGCGAACGCTCCACACGTGACTGTGGCACGGTGAGAGAGAGAGGAGAGGAAGAGAGACCAATCACACTCGTTGTTTCTCTGTGTGTGTGTTCTTTCCTGGTGTTGCTGCTGTTGTGGCAGTGGTGTGTTTGATTGGTGATGCCAAAAGTGCTCCCCAAAAAGTGATTTTGGCATTGCTGAAAGCACAGGGAGGCGACAAAGTATCGCAAACACAGCCTCTGCTTCTCGAAGGGGAAAAGCATGTCCAACGTATCTAAGGGGAGAATGTAAGAAAAAGCATGTTGCGATCTCGTCTAACAATTGCTGCTGCAGAGCAGCAAGATGATTAACTCATCTCCCCTCCACCCCCCTTTCACGCTTTGTTTTTTTCTCCAAGGGGTACGTTCTTGGCCCATGTCAGGCTCGCTGACACAAGGGTATCAACGATTTCGATCATCCCACATCATCATGACTGTTGAGATGTTCAAATCCAAACCCCTCACTTCACAGATTTGTGTCAGCGAGCAAGTGCAAGCCTGACATGGGCCAAGAACGTACCCTAAACAGCAAACACGACCGCCACTACAGCAGCAGCAGCAGCGGCGGCGGCGGCGGCGGCGGCAGCGGCAGTGGCAGCAGCAGCAGCAGCAGCAGCAGCAGCAGCAGCAGCAGCAGCAGCAGCAGCAGCAGCAGCAGCAGCAGCAGCGGCAGCGGCAGCGGCAGCAGCAGCAGCAGCAGTGACGCAGTGTCCCTCACCTTTCTTCTCCTGGAATGCATTGGGCGGTAGCAGAAATGTGTCCCCATCCACGATGCCGTACGGCCTGTTTGCGGCAAACAAGAGCTGCGGGGAGGAGAGGAGTGAGAGAGGGAGACAAGACACGAGAGAGGAGGGAGAGAGAGAAAGTTAAACCCACTGATGCTCTGAGTCGCCTCACTCACTCCCTCATAGAAAGGCGCCCCCATCCACAATGCTGTACGGCCTGTTGGCGGCGACACACGAAAGCTGCCGAGATGAGTGTGAGAGGGAGGGAGAGAGAGAAAGAAGGGGTGACGGAGGGGGGAGGAGGGGGTGGGGTTGGAGCGAAACATCATGTGAAATCCATGGACAGTCTGAGCAACAGTTACTCTGAGCATGTGGTGATGAACACATGGCAGACGTAGTACACTCACTGTGAACACGTGGCATGGTGTGCATAACACGTGGTGCACTCCCTCACTCACTCACACGTGGCATGGTGTGCATAACACGTGGTGTACTCACTCACTCACTCACTCACTCACACGCGGCATGGCGTGCAGTGCGTGACACGCGTTGCATTGACTTACTTTGAGCACGCGCGGGGCATCAGAGAGGTTGGTGAAGAAGAGAGAGCCGTGTAGCTCCCGCCCCACCTCGACTGCCCGCACCAGGGCAGGGAGTCAGGCCCCACCAGCGACCACCAGCGACCACCAGGGACCACCAGCGACCACCAGCGACCACCAGGGACCACCAACGACCACCAGCGACCACCAGGGACCACCAGCAACCACCAGCGACCACCGCCGGGAGACCAAGAGCGGGGTTTGGCGGACCGGGAAGGGATGGGGAGAAGGTCAGTCCAAAAAGAGCGAGCGGAAGGGGAAAGGGAAGGGGGAGGTTGGTGAGAAAGAAAAGAGAGCCGTGCAGCTCCCTCCCCACCTCGACTGCTGCCCGCACCAGGGAGTCAGGGCCACCAGAGACCACCGCCGGGTGACCAGGAGCGGGGTTTGGTGGACCGGAAAGGGATTGGGACGGGGTCGGTCGGAAGGGGGTGAGGGGAAGGGGAAGGGGGAAAGTTGAAGAAGTGGGGGGGGGGGAAGAGGAGGGGGGATGGGAAAAGGAGAAAGTGCGAGGAATGGGAGGGGAGTGGGTGGGATGGGGGGGTGGGGGAAAGGGGAAGTAGGGGGGGGTGCGGCGAAGCAGGGGGGAGTTGAAGAAGGGGGCTGTTGGAACGAGACGAATGCTGGGCGTTAAGAGTAAGCGAGAAAGACAAAGATGGTGGCGAGACGAAGCTCCTTAATCAGGCATGAGGAGAGGCACGGCATGAGGAGAGACACGGCATGAGGAGAGACAATGGGGATGAACGCGAATGATGAAGGAAGTGCGATATGTGCTACGTATGCGACTTGTGGTCGCTGTGCTGAGTGGCTATGCTTCATCCAAGCGAAGCCGACGCGAGTAATGGGTTGTTCTGCGGCATTTCAAGGCTTCTACTAAGCAGTTTATTCTTTTTTTCTGATTATTTTTGCCGTTTCTGATCTCTTCTAGTCGCTTCATCTCTTACATGGGAAGCGAACGCAGCCCGGTTCTATCTTAAGATCGTCCATGCACGCTTCAATTGACCGTCCCTCGACGCTTCACTGTCACTGACTCGCTTCGCCGCAGATCGACACAGAAAACTCTAATGCCAGACGATCACCCGAGAACAGAATTTGCTACGACGAGCCCGCTCACGGCCTGATTGCGAGTTTTTAGTCGACTCAAAAGACGAGCCCGCTCAGGGCCTCATTGCCGTTACTAGACCAACGACACGATGCAATCAATACTGCGCGGCGCGCGTTCGAGTTCACACCGACACGTGGCATGCAAGTTCACTATCAGCTGTGGTGATGCAACCAGGTGCAAGTTCACTATCAGCTCCCACACCACCTCCCACCACACCACCGCCACCGCGCGGAGCAGGGAGCGCAGGGCAAATGCAGTACGGTACGGCATGCAACTGCGCGCGAATGCGACTGTCCTCAGCACGGCACGGCATTCCCGAAGCTTCAGGGGAGGTGGGGGGATTTTGCTGGAGGAGATTGGCCGTAGGGTTTGCGTTCGGTTTCCGCGCAGCCGAACCTGTGCCAAACCTCGAATTTCGAGGTTCCCGCCTAGCAAGTCTCGTTATACCACGGCTACGCACTCCTTTTGTCCACTTCATTCAGTCGCTGTTGCGGTGGTCATTAGAGGTTTACTCAATATCACAGCTCATAAATTGTGTACCCTTGTATAGTAACAGACCTAGAAACCTCCATATCAAGAGCCAAGCTGCAACACGAGTTAACATACACTGAGTGCCATTACGTAGATAACTAGGAGACTTCCCATATTAAAGGTCAAGCTGTTAAAGCCAGTTGCAAAAACTCCAAGACACCAACGCCACCCAAGAAAGCAACCACAAAGAAGAAAAGGATGTGAAAGAACAGCAGGACACTCTCATATCCTCTCACCCTTGAAAGGCTCAGTCCGCTCCTCTCCACCGCACCCTAACCGATCACCCCCCTGCATACCACCACGAGCCAAGCCAATGCTAGATGGGGCCACAAGCAGTGGCTCCTCTCCTTTCCACCAACTCAGTAAACCCAGCAAGGCAAGTGGCTGCCCCAGGCCTTGCTGCCACTCTCCACTCCACTCCTCTCCATTCCACTCCACACCTCTCTTCTCCACAACACACCTCACCAGTTCTCAAAACTACCAATTTATTCCACTCTACACACACACATACATAGTTGCACCGGAACGCCTACTCCCGCTTCTCCTCTCCCCGCCCTCAGTGAGCCTGTGGTCCTGTGAGCTTGTGTCCGTGTGAACGTGAGAGGGGTTCTGTTCTGTCTTGTAATGATCTCTTCTCACTTGGGAGCGATGCCACGCTCCTCAACAAACTTCTTGACGTCGTCTGGACTCTTGATGCTCTTCAGGTCCTTCAGCAGTTGCTTCCTGGGAGATGGAGAAGCAAGTGTGTGAGAGTGTGACAAGCGTGAGAGGGGTTCTTTCTCACTTGGGGGCGATGCCACGCTCCTCCACGAACTTCTTGACGTCGTCTGGACTCTTGATGCTCTTCAGGTCCTTCAGCAGTCGCCGCCTGGCAGGTGGAGAAGATAAGCGAGTGTTTGAGGGTGTGACAGACACAGACATGAATGTGTGCCATGTGGATGCGCACGTGCATGTGGATGTGAATTTGCATCTGCATCTTGAGGCGCCTCAAAATACACCTCAAACAGTTGCTCCCTGGGAGGTGGAGAAGCGAAGCCAGTGTTTGAGGGTGTGACACACATGACATGAATGTGTGCCATGTGGATGCACACATGCATGTTTTTTAGTCGACTCAAAAACATGCTCCCTGGGAGGTGGAAAAGCAAGTGGTTGAGGGTGGGACAGACATGACATGACATGAATGTGTGCCATGCCATGTGAATGCGCACGTGTATGCAGATGTCAAACATGCATCTGCACGTGTACGAAAGGAAGACTGGGGAGGGAGCATGGCACGAATTCTGGGGAGGAAGACAATGGAACAATGCTCCATGAACTTAACAACGAATTCGGTCCGGTGCGGGGGGTGGGGGGAGGAGGGGGGGGAGGGGGGAGGGTGGGGGGGGGAAGGGGAAGGGGGAAGCAGAGGCAAGGCATGGCAGGGAGATTTATTGAGGTGTTACCTCTGCTCGGCCCAAAGAAGGTCGTATCCAATGAAGGATGTGACTGCTGTGAGCCCTATGGCCTCCATGGCCCCTTGGACTGCCATACACGACGTACCAGGAGGTAAGAGTAGGAACGGGGAAGAACGAGGAGGCACAAAGAGGCATGAGGAAAGAGGAAGAACGAGGAGGAACAAGGTGCGAGGAGGAGAACATGGAAGCATATGACATGTAAACAGGGAAACATGGGAGGAGGAGCATGTGCGTGCATTGCATGTGTCTCATTTCATATGCACTCAGGGCTGCTGCTGCAGGTTGTGGTGGTGCTGCTGGTGGCACTGGTGTACCAGTGAGCAGTCACAGACCAGCTGTACCAATCATGACATGCTTGCAGTGGTGCATGGAGGTGCAAGAGCAGCAGACACGAGCAGAAGCACAAGCACAGCGTGTCATGCGTAAGAGTAGTGGCGGTGCTGGTGCACGGCACGTACATCCGCCAGTGACGGTGGCAACAGTGCCAAGCCCGACAGCAAGTGCAGGGATAGACGTCTTGATCAGCTCCTGGATCTTGCGCCAGTTCTCCTCCTCCTGTTCATGGGACGACACACACATGCACACACACACACACAACAACAACACACCACACCCACAGGCCACGGCAGAGATACGGCACGCAAGGGAAGGAGTTTCCGTATTGAGGGCCAGAAAAGGGAGAGAATGCTAGAATGAGGGCATGAAAGGGTGAAGGGAGGCACGCAGAGGAGGGGGGAGGAAGGGTACATCTGTGTGGGTGGGTACATCTGAGGTGGGCAAGATTACACCCCCATTGGGAATGTCCCACAGCTGCACTGCAGCAGCAGCAAGCGGCAAAAGCAGCAACAGGAGCGGCAACACGAGTAGCGGCAGGAGCAGCGGCAAAAGCAGCAGAGAGCATGAGGCACTATCATCCACTCACCTCTGACAGCTCCTCTGACTTTGCCGCATCAGCCGCCACTGAAGCAGCAGCAGCAGCGGCAGGCGACGAAACAGCCTGAGGCTTGGCAGTAGCAGCTGCAACCGCAACAGCGGCAGGCGCTGCAGCAGTAGCAGCAGCAGCAGCAGCAGCAACAGGAGCAGGAGAAGCAGCAGGAGCAGGTGCAGCAGGTGCTGGTACATCCTCGCTCTTCGCTTCCTTCTTCTTGAACAAGAAGCTCCATATGGGTTTCTTCTTCTCAGCAGGTTTCTCTGCCTCTGCCGCTGCCGCCACGGCACCGTTGCCTGCTGCTACAGCAGGCTGTGCCGTAGCAGCAGCAGCAGCAGGAGCAGGAGCAGGCGGAGAGGAGGATCCAGGGAGAACAGACGCCTGCATCAACTTGTTGGGAACCTTCTCAGCCTCTGAAGCGTCGGAGTATGGCCCTGTTGCTGCGGCCTTGGCAGGAGCAGCAGCAGGGGTGGTGGGGAGAACCGACGCCTGGCGCAGCTTGTTGGGCAGATTGACAGTCTCTGAAGGATCAGAATACGGCCCAGACGCTGAGGCCTTAGCGGGAGCAGCAGGGGCAGCGGAGGGGGTGGGGGCCACAGGAGGCTTCTTAGCAGGCAGGTTCTCGGTCACTGACGCATCAGAGTATGGTCCGGTTGATGGAGCATCAGCTGCAGCTGCAGCACAGGCAGCAGCAGAAGCGGTGGGGAGAACTGACGCCTGGCGCAGCTTGTTGGGCAGATTGACAGTCTCTGACGGATCGGAGTACGGTCCGGTTGCTGCGACGGCCTTAGCAGGAGCAGCAGCAGCAGGGGAGGCAGGAGGGACTGGCAGTTTCACAACCTGCGAAGCGTCGGTATACGGCCCGGCTGCTGCAGCAGCAGCAGTGGCACTCTTAGCAGCAGCAGAGGTGGGGAGAACAGACGCCTGGCGCAACTTGTTGGGCAGATTGACAGACTCCGAAGGATCGGAATACGGCCCGGATGCTGCAGCAATGGAGCTCTTAGCAGGAGCAGCAGCGGCGGCGGCAGCAGCAGGAGCAGCAGCAGCAGGGGAGGAGGAGGAGGAGGCGGACCTCTGTAGCTTGGGGGATGCGCTGATAACCTCCATAGCAACAGAGTACGGTCCAGTTGCTGCTGGGACGGTCTTAGCAGGAGTAGCAGGGGAGGAGGAGGAGGGGAGAACAGACGCCTGCATCATCTTGCTAGGCAGTCTATTTGTCTCTGAAGCATCGGAATATGGCCCGGATGCTGCAGCAAGTGTAGTCTTAGCAGGAGAAGCAGCAGCAGCAGCAGTAGCGGCGACAGGAGTTGGCAGATTCACAGTCTGTGAAGGGTCTGAATACGGGCCAGTTGTTTTAGGGGAAGCGGCAGTGGCAGAAGCTGCAGCAGCGGTGGAGAGGACGGACGCTTGCAGGAGCTTGTTGGGAAGAGCCGTGGGTTCAGATGCGTCGGAGTAAGGCCCTGAGGGAGGTGATGCGCGGAGGGGAGGTGATGCAAGGGGAGGGGCAGTGATGCAAGGGGAGGGGGAGGTGATGCGCGGAGGGGAAGTGATGCAAGGGGAGGGGAAGGTGATGCGCGGAGGGGAAGTGATGCAAGGGGAGGGAGAGGGGAGGAGGCGTTTTGGAATGATAGTGCAGGACATGCCGTTGAGAATGGGCTTGACTTGGCAAGGGAGGAAGAAAGCGGTGAAGTATGTCAAGCGGGAATCACGCGAGCTGCGAGAAGAGAATGGAGAGGATGTGGGGTCATAGCATAGCAAGAGAATGCGTGCTAGATGGAGGGGGATGATGATATGAGGAGAGTAGAGTAGAATCCCAACCAACCGGTTCCTACAAGGCAACTGACTGACAAGCTCACTACCGACAGGCGTTGTCGTCGGACGTGGTATATAACATATACGTTCCTTCCTAGTGCGGTCTTGTGTGCGTGGCTCTAACAGCGCGCTCTAAGCTTGTGTGTTCTGTCTCACCTTTTGCAGCCACGGATGCTCCCGCTAGCGGCGTCACTGCTGGCAATGAGGTGGGAAAGCGCAGAGGGGAGACAGAGGGAAAGGGGGCGGACGGGGAGTGGGGAGAGGAGAAGGAAAGGGGGAAGAGAGAGGAGTCGTTGGAGTGAGGGAGGAAAAGGCAAAGGGAGGGAGGGAGGAGGGAGGGAGGGAGGGAGGGAGGGAGAGGGGTTGCGAGAGAAAGAAAGAGGTGGACAGAAGAGAAGAAACATAGCAACCAATCAAGCAAGCCGCGAGAAAAAGCAAGCTCGGTTTTTTTTTATTACATTTGCAAACCTTTTTTCGTCATCTCGCTAAAGCCGTTCACTTCAGCCTGCAACAAGGCAAGACGGATAACACTTCATCGAGGCAAAACTCTCAATCAATCCGCTCCCTCCCTCGCCCCCTTACGCACAACACCCCCCCCCCCCCTCCCGCTGTTTCGTGTTCCTCTGTTCCCCGCTCCCGCTCCCACACTTTCCCATCTCCCATTGTTTTCGCGACTTTGCGTTTCCGGCATCAACCTACGCACTCGTACCTTCCGCTGGTGCCGCCGATTTGGCGGACTTCTTCCGCCCTACCGCCACTCCGCCCACCACAATCAGCGCCAGCCCGATCGCCCCGAGCAGCATTCCGCCCTGCGCTCCGCCGATCCCCCCCAAGCCCCCGGCTCCCCCCGCCGCCGTCCCCACAGACGTGATCAAAGCTTGCGCCTTAGTCTTCACCGCAGCGACGGCGGCGGTTGCGGCGGCGCCTAATCCGGCGGACGACCCCGACTCGTCGACGTTCTTAATCACTATGCGGTCTTGGAGGCCGGGCGGCGCGGTGCCGGTCCAGGCGAAGGAGGGAACGCGCAGCATATCGCCCTCGTAGATTACGTCTCCGCTGTTGCGAATGAAATCGGTGTTGGCGCGAATGAAATCCGCGGGCGTGCAGTTGAAGGTGCGCGCGAGCACGCGGAGCGAGTCGCCCCTCCCCACGCGCACGAAGACTTGCACGGACTGAGAAATGGGGACGAGCGGAGCGGGGGGCAGGGGAAGAGGGGGGGACGGGAGAGGAAGGGAGGGGGAAAGAGGGGGGGGGGAAGGGAGGAGAGTGGAAAGAGGGTTGGAGGAGGGGGAAGGGGAGGGAGGAAGAGGATGAGGAAGGGAGTTGTGAGGCGTCAGAGCGAGAACGGGGCGCATAGAATGGTAATAGAAGTGCACTAAGACAGGCAGTAAGCGGACGTAGTGTGCCCGCATTTTTGTACTTTGTTATTATATTCATCGGACGCTTATACATAAACATCTGAACAAAACGAACAAGTTACATGCTTCCGAACTGCCCGACTGTGAAACTAATTCTGGTTGCTTGAAATTCTTCTTACCCCCGCAAAAAGCCTCAGCACTATGCTTCAACCAAGAAGGTGCATAATCTGAAAACTGTAGCACGAGTGCGGAGCAGCGAAAAAACTTGCAGGAAAATCTTGAACAACAACAACAAATAAACAGAATAGAAACAAACGAACTGACAATAAAACATTAAATCGAAGACACTCTACAACGGAACTATGCTTAAAGGTGCGCATTACCTGGCCGGCCTCGGCGCGAATGTTAGGCAGCTGAGGTCCCTTGGACGAGCCGACGACGGGCGACGCGCTCCCTCCCTCGGCCTTCATACCGAGGAAACCGCTCCGCATGGGAGCACTATACTGTGTACTCCGCGTCGGCCGCGGCGCGCCACGTGTCGTGCCTGCTGCCGTGGCGCTGCCAGCTGGCAGCGCGAGGTCGGTGAGACACACTGAAGACGCTGCCATTGCCAGGAGAGTTGTAAGTGGTCGCGTCAGGGCGAGAGGAACGAGCGGCAGCGGGTGCTGGCTTCGCCAGGCGTTCTATCGGGCTCCGCTCGAGCGTGCTTCCGATGCGAGAAGGCAAAATAAGTGTCTTTTTCTAAACCAGCCTCTAATACACAGTATGGGTGTGAGGCTTGGGTTGGGTGGCCCTGGTCTGGTGTTGTGACAGCACTAGCCGAAGAAGGGCAGATTGGCGGGGCGACCCTATCTGCAAAAGCTTGGCTGGCGCAGCAAGGTTTGTTGTAGGTGGCGCAAGAAGTTGAGGGAACTGGCGGAAGGGACGGAAAGTGGGGACTGGCGGGGGAAGGCTACAGAGCGGAGAGGGGAAGTCCTAGCCTATCTCATGCATTTGTTGAATTCAGAGCGTTTTTATTCCAAGAAGTTAGCCTAATATGGGTCTTCAGAGAACTCTGCCCCACTATAATTTCGAAGCTCTTATGTAATTGTAGTCAGAAACAAAAAAAAAAACTACTTTTCATTGAGTTGTGTCTGGCCTAGACATGGCGATTGATGATTTGACGCATTTGTACTCGATTACTTATAATATCTCGGCTTGGTGATATTTTTGCTTCAGAGAAGTTTGAAACAAAGGGATGGCATTCGGTGAAGTCTCTCGTATTTAATAGGCAGTAAAAAAATCACAAGGGCAGCCGCAAGCGACGAAAAGAAAAAGTACAAATGACAACGAGCCTTCTGGGGGGGTTTGGCTTGGCGGTGACGGGAGGAGGGCACCTCCCCTTCACCTCCACTTGATCCTCGAGTCGCAGGCGGCTTGGCCGAGTTTCCAGCACCCACCACAAATCAGGGGGTTGTGCGAAGCGAAAAGGCAGTTGAGGAGATTGTTGCGAGAAGAATTGTGTACGAATGGCGGCGATAAATCCACGAAGAGGGTCGGTTGACAAAGTGTGTGGCGTCAAACTGATGTTGATGGTTGCGAAAGCGAAGGCGAAGGTGGCCGCATTTCGCTCACGAGCCTGAAGGGGCTGAACCTGGTGAAGCTCAGAAAGTGCTTCGGCAATGATTCGTTCAGATTGCCGTGATTGCGGCCATCTGGAACCGCACGCAACACCTTCGTTATGTGGCTGGCATTCGCTTCCCTCGCTATTCATAGCGCAAAGGAATCCCGATTCAACCAATCATGAAGCCGCGTCCAACAAGCCGAAAAGGGTTCGAGAATGCGCTTGGACGAATAACAACCAGATAATTGCATATCTGTCCGCTCTATGATATCCCTACTGCAACTATCAAGGCGACCCTAACAACAGCTGATGTAATATGAAGATATGATTACTAATGCTTTGATGGACACAGGTTGCATTTTGTGCAGGTCACGGATTTAAAACCATTCTAGTTAAATACAATACACTTTTATGTGGAATGTATGGTGTTGTTGGTCAGCATTTACTGATACATTACCAGATTGATGAAATACAATATATTTCCCTGAAACATAAATTATGAATTATGTGCTATAATGCAAGGCTGAAATGTGTAGTTGTAAATTTAGACGTTTAAAAATCAACTTGCTGTAAATTGTAAGCTTATGCGAAAGAAACCCCGCTCAAAGGTTGGCATCTGTGTGTGTATTATTGTTAATCCGGGTTCGTCCATATCGAAGTTTCCCGCCAAAACCCTTCAATTCAAATGCTCGCACAACAGCGTCAGAAGCACGCCTGAGAAGGACGAAGCCATCTCTTGTAGCAGTCCAACCTAGGGCATCTCCTAATCACTCTTCGCTATTTGCGTATGTTCCCTGGTCAGGATGACACGTGTGGTCATTCCATCGTCACGTTCGTGTCTCCTCGACTCCGTCTTGTCAGCAACAGGCCGTTCCAGTGTTTTATCCCACACCAGCAATTACGCGTCGGGAGAATGTCACTATGCATTGCAATCACCATTGTAACCCCTAGACCGTCCTCGTAGCCACAGTACGCAATTCTAATAACAGCCACGCAGTACTTCTCAAGTCACCTCCTCCTCCATCGAATGAATACCCACGGAAAAATCTCAGATAATGCGGACGCTACCATCCTCCCAGCATTCGCCAGCCTTTAGAGCCCGGCCCGCTAGTTCTCCCACTCCCCATCTAAACGCCGGGAATATTGCATCCGATGCTGTCGACTCGGCGAATGCAGCTGCTGCAGCATCTACTGCCAACGGTGCCGCAGCTTTTGTCGCTACTAGAACCAGCGTCTCCGCGCGCTCCGCTTCCGCCACGACCTGCTGCTCCGCGCCTGCAGGGCCCCCGCCTGCACCCTCCGCGACTTCCGCTTCCGCCCATTCAGATTCCGCCCACGCCGTTTCCGCCCCTTCCGCCTCCGCCGCAGCCCCGAAGGAGCTGCACATTGGCGGCTACCGCGTGCTGTTCCCCCACACCCCATACCCTCCGCAAATACAGCTCATGGCTAAGATGATCTCCGCGCTCGACGCCTCCCTCTCCCCCCACGCGCTCCCCCGCGCCCAACCCCACGCCCCTCCGCCCGCGCGCGCGCGTATGGGCAGCACGAACGCGCTGCTCGAGTCCCCCACGGGCACGGGGAAGACCCTCGCGCTGCTGTGTGGCGCTGGCGTGGCAGAAGCGCGCCAAGGAGGACCCCGCGCGGCTCGCGCAGGCGCACGCGGGGGGTGCGGGGATTGCGGGGGTCGGAGGAAGCTGTGGCGGTAATGACGGGGATCCATATACTACTGGGGGAGGGTTCATTGTCCCAGATGCTGACGGTGAGTGGAGTGGAGGGACGCTGAGTATAGTGAAGTGATGAAGCGCATGGGTAGGGCGCTGGTGATGATGGGCGCAGGTGATGGGCGCAGGATATAGGCGCAGGTGATGGGCGCAGGTGTTGGGCGCAGGATATAGGCGCAGGTGATGGGCGCAGGATATAGGCGCAGGTGATGGGCGCAGGTGATGGGCGCAGGTGATGGGCGCAGGATATAGGCGCAGGTGGGCGTGCAGCTCCGTGACAGGGCGTTGTGAGTCGCTCGGCATTGTTATCGTGCGAAACACAAGTCAGCTCAGCAGGCCTGAGACAGTCAACTAGAGACAGTCAGCCTGAGGCAGGCAGCCGGCCGATCTGTGTTTCGTCCTGTTCTCATTCCTGTCAGTTGGAGCCTGGATCGTCGAAACACTCAGGCCCCAAAACCCTAGCATGCTTGCTGCTGCTGCAGTCTATCCTCTGTCAGAGGCAACTTTTGAGATGACTCAACAGTGGCTTCGTTACAATGGCTCCCGCGATGTGCTGGCTGCAGCAAATTCCCAGCCTCTGTCTGTCTGATATGCGTTGTGTCCGGCTGTTGAATTCAACATGCCCGCTGCTGCTCCGAAGCTAAACGAGAAGGACACCCACACATCTTGCGATAGCTGTGCATGTTATGATTGCTTTGTCTGTTCCTTCCGCTTCCACCGTTCTTTCTCGTCCCTCCCTCTTTCCTTCTGCTTCAGGCACGGGTATGGGAGAGGGCGCAGGCGAGGAGGGAGGTGAGCCGGAGAATGGTGGAGGAAGCGCGGAGGTAGAGATGGAAGGACAGGGCCACGTGCAGCAGAAGGGGCAGCAGGGCGGGCAGAAGCAGGGGAAAGCAGCCCAGAACGTGCCGGCTGCTCACTTCCCCAGGATCTTCTATGCCTCGTAAGGGGCCTGGCTTGTTTTTTTTTGGCGACTCAAAAAGAAGCAGGGAAAGCACGGCCCATAACTTGGCGGCTGCTCACTTCTGTTCCCAAGATCTTGTATGCCTCGTCGTAAGGGGCTTGGCTTGGATGGGTTTGTTTCAGTTCAGGAGAATTGAGCTGGCAGTGATTTGGGAGGGATTTGAGTGATGGATAATTGACTGACTCATCTCACCCCTCTGCCTCCGGCCCCTCGCCCCCTGCCCCTTGCCCCCTGCCCCGTCGTCCCCGCCCCCCGCCCCTGGCCCCCTGCCTATCCGCCCCCCCCCCGACCACAGGCGCAGGTGGTGCGGGAGCTGCGCAAGAGCAGGTACTCGCATTTCCAAACGTCTCTAAATTCATCCACACCCTCCTTTTCCCCCATTCTGCCTCTCCCCCCTTCCCTCTCTCCCACCCACCTCCCCCGTCCATCGTGCGCCACCGCAGGCGCACGCACAGCCAGATGTCGCAGGTGGTGCGGGAGCTGCGCAAGAGCAGCTGCTCAAGTTCTGAGACGTCTCAACCCCACCCTCTCCCCACCCTCCCCTTCCCTCCTCTCCCGCCCCCCCTTTTTTTCGCCCGCCCATCCTGCCCCTCTGACCGCAGGCGCACGCACAGCCAGATATCGCAGGTGGTGCGGGAGCTGCGCAAGAGCAGCTACTCGCCGCCTTGTGAGCCGTCTCAGAAACACCCCCTCGTCCTCCTTCCCCCTCTCTCCCCGCCCTCCCCTCTTGCGCCACCGCAGGCGCACGCACAGCCAGATATCGCAGGTGGTGCGGGAGCTGCGCAAGAGCAGCTACTCGCCTACCATGACCATACTTGTGCGTGCACCCACGGCTTGTGCAGGGTTGGGGATCAAGGGATTGATTGTTGTGGGGTTTGGGTGGTTGCGAGGTTCGGGGTTTAGAGTTGGGGGTTGTTGCGGGTTTGGAGTCAGGGGCGATTGATTGAGAGTTAACATCAAAGTAGCAGCAGCGGTTGGACCATCTATCCGTGCAGTTGTGTCATTCTTGCCACCCTCGCTCCGCTAGCATTGAGTTTTTGAGGCGCCTCAAAATTGAGAGTTAACATCAAAGTAGCACCAGAGGTTCGACCATCTATCTGTGCAGTTGTTCCATTCTTGCCACTCTCGCTCCGTGCTCCACCTCTTTGATGAGTGGAAGCGCTTTGCTGTGCCTGGCCGTACCCCACATCACACCATAGCACCGCACCATACGTCCTGGTCTGGTCCCTGTGCCAAAATTGCAACTGCTACCTGCTATACCTCTGCTTTTGAGGCGCCTCAAAATTCTTCTTTTTAGGCACTTAGACTTCTTGATGTGACCTTTTTGAGATGTCCCATTTCCTTTATAGACGCGTCAAAATGTTTTGAGACGTCTTGAAAGGCTTGATGTTCCTCTGTCCCTGACCCCATCCGATGATCTTAGTGATCAAACTACTAACAAGCTTAACCCTGCCGTCCTAAGTACCCATCCCCTCCCCACTTGCCTCTTCTCGCCCTCGCCCCCCGCCTTGTTCTTCTTCCATCGCCCTTCCCAGTTTACAATTCCTAGTGTCATGTCACCTTCCAAGTGCCCAAACTCTGCGTGATGTTCTCTTGCTCTCTGGCTGCTCCCTCTCCCCTGCTGGCCATACCACTACCACCACTGCCACCACTATCACCATTGTCATGTCATGTCACTTGTCACCACTGCCAACCCTCTCCAGGCATGAGTTTTGAGTCGACTCAAAACTCGGGCCATACCACTACCACCACTGTCATGTCATGTCATGTCACCATTGTCATGTCATGTCACCATTGTCATGTCATGTCACCATTGTCATGTCATGTCACCATTGTCATGTCATGTCACTTGTCTTGTCGCCACTGCCAACCCTCTCCAGGCATCGCGCAAGCATTACTGCTGCAACAACACCGCGCTCAAGAAACCGTCTGTTGACGAGGCATGGTGGGTGGGTTCTGCCCTGCTCTCTCTCATCTGTTAGAGCTGGAGCTTTGAATCGATGCATTAGTAGTGAGCCCAAAGCTCTTTAAGTACAGAAGAAATGCGCAACGTATGGATGGGGAGGGAATCGGGAACAATCCCTAAGCAATCTCCAATTGGTGGGTTGGAGATTGCATGGTGATCACATTTGGGTTTGGTTGGGATGTGGGTGGGTGTACACCCAACCCACACAAAGTGCAAATTACACTAAGCTAGGATATAAAACGTACAAGTACAAAAGTGGAGATTGAGGGCTAACACTAACATCATCATCCTCCCCAGAGATTCATCTCATCACCCACCATTTCCCAAGGAACGAGACATGGTGGTGGTTTCATGCCTCGTCTCTCAAGAATCTTCATCACTAGCAGTGCTCTGTTTACGTACAAACAAATGCTCAATGCTCATCACCAAAGAGTCATCTCTCTAGCTTCAAGGCAACAGCACTTATGACTTTTCAGGGCCCTGATGTCTCACTCACTCGTAAAGCCTTGCCTTTACGTCTGCTCACATCACATGGACACACACGCACACAAACGTCCGTCTGTGCGTCTGCGTTCGTTCCACTCGTCCTGATCCGTTCTGTCAAGTCAACTTGCACTACCCTGCTCTGCTCTGCTCTGCTCTGCCCTGCCGTACTTGCTTGCACTACTACCCTCTCACTCAGCTTGTGGCATCTCTCTCTGCTGCTTTCGCATATCATAGTCTGCCATCCTCTCGCTCGTGACTCCGGTCCTTGTGTGTATCTCGGCCTTCTTCATCTCCCATGCCATCTGCCATGCCTTCTTCATCTGCCATGCCTTCTTCATCTGCCATGCCTTCTTCATCTGCCATGCCTTCTTCATCTGCCATGCCTTCTTCATCTGCCATGCCTTCTTCATCTCCCATGCCATCTGCCATGCCTTCTTCATCTGCCATGCCTTCTTCATCTGCCATGCCTTCTTCATCTGCCATGCCTTCTTCATCCGCCATGCCTTCTTCATCTGCCATCTATCTCAGCAAGGCTCTTTTATCCCCGGGCCTCGTGCAAGAAACCGACGACGAGGCGCAGCAAGTCACAAGGCCAGTTCACATGCAGAGGCATATATGCAGCACAATCAACACAGTGATCTTGATCTAGCAAAGCAAGCATGCAGGTATATGTATATATAGAGATCACAGTACAGGCAAAGCCTACAGCAAGTGAGGCAAGGTGGGCACAAGCCCTAGCAAAGTGCAGAAACGCTGATGATCACCAGACTGAAGTGCCTTGGTGAATATATCAGCAGCGTTGGCCTGAGTGGCCACGTAACGCAGACGAAGTTGACCACGCTGCTGCAACTCTCGAGCCAGGAAGTAACGCAGAGCGATGTGCTTCGTTCTGTGCTCCAGTCTGTGCTCCTCACACAAGGCAATGGCAGCCTTGTTGTCGACGTACAGCACTGGAGGAGAACGAGGCCGCTCTCCCAACCCAAGTTTCGTGCCAGGCAGTAGAAAATGAGGTGCAGCAAGTCAGAGGCACTGACTGCATTTTCTTCCGATAACTTGCCTCCCTTTTCTTTCCCTTCTCTCTTGTCTGTCCTCCTCTTCCTCTTCCTCGTCCTCGTTTCCTTCCTTCCCCGCTTTCCCACCCTCTCATGCTTCATCTCGTCTCTCTTCGTCCCTCCCACACTCCACTTCTCTCAGTGCAGTGCACTTGCACTTGTTTGCCGCTTCTATCTCTAACTCATCACTGCAATGCTTGCAACCACTAGGCCTAATCTCAACTCCACCTTATAGCCTCCTCTCCTCTTTCCAGCCGCCCCCACCTCCACCCTAGCTCGTGGACCAAACCCATCCCACACAGCAGTATCCTCACCACCCCACCCTCTTCTCACACCACATCCATTCCCATCTTTAGCCCCCCGTACCACAAACTCCCTCTCTTCTCTTCTCTCCTCTCCTCTCCTCTCCTCTCCTCTCCTCTTCTCTACTCGACATGTCTTGTCGCTCCCTACCTCCCTCATTCCCAGCAACTACGCCGATCTGAAGGGCCATCCGTCGCTGCAGCCCGGAGGGCCCCTGGCAGTGCACGATGTGGAGGACTTAGTGAAGCTGGGGAGGCGCACCAAAGGTGCGTGCGTGCGTGCGTGTATGGTCATGAACCTGTGATGTGACTATGTGCGCGCGGTGAGGACTGCTAAAAGACCCCCTGGCAGTGCACGATGTGGAGGACTTAGTGAAGCTGGGGAAGCGCACCAAAGGTGCGTGCGTGTGTGTGAGTGCATGTGTGCGTGGTCATAAACCTGGGACTAGGAGGTTACTACTTGACTTCAAAGACCCCCTGGCAGTGCATGATGTGGAGGACTTAGTGAAGCTAGGGAAGCGCACCGAAGGTGCGTGGGTGCGTGCATGTGTGCGTGGTCATGAACCTGGGAGCACAACAAAGGCGCGTGTGCGTGCATGCCCTCATGAGCATTGAGCTCCTGACCACATGACCACATGACCACATGACCACATGACCACGTGACTGCATGACCACATGACCACGTGACTGCCTGACCACATGACCACGTGACTGCCTGACCACATGACCACGTGACTGCCTGACCACATGACCACATGACCACATGACCACGTGACTGCATGACCACATGACCACGTGACTGCCTGACCACATGACCACATGACCCCACTCGGCCAGTCTAGCCACTGGGTCATTCGCTGGTGCTCTGAATTTACGCGGTTTGCGTCTGCTTCTGCTGTTTCTCCTGGTGCAAGCTACCTGGTGCAAGCTACCTGGTGCAAGCTATCTGGTGCAAGCTACCTGGTGCAAGCTATCTGGCGCAAGCTACCTGGTGCAAGCTACCTGGTGCAAGCTATCTGGCGCCTCGACTGCGTTGTTGGTGGTGTAACACTCACTAATTTCCTCCCTCTCAGGTGCTTCCTTTCTTGCTTTCTCTCTCTCCCTTCCAACCTTCCCCCCTTCTTCCCTCCACCCTCTTGATCCTCCTTCCAGGGTGCCCGTACGTTGCAGCGCAGGCAGCAGCAGTGAATATACATGTGGCGATGTGACGTGACGGTTAGTCATGTGACAGTCAGTACTTTCCCTCTCTCTCGCTTCCAGCGTGCCCGTACTTTGCAGCGCAGGCAGCAGCAGTGCATATGCGTGTGGCGTTGTGACGGTTAGTCATGTGACAGTCAGTACTTCCCCTCTCTCTCGCTTCCAGGGTGCCCGTACGTTGCAGCGCGCGCAGCAGCAGCGGAGGACGTGGATGTGGTGATGCGTCCATACCATACAACTACATGCTGTCTCTCATGGTGCGGCGCAGCATGGTGCCTCAACTGCGTTGGCGTTAGTGGGAGGGGTAGTGCTTCCACTCCCTCCCATTCGGCTGACTTCTTTCTCCCTCCCAATGCACCCTCCCGGACCACCTTGCAGGGTGCCCGTACTATGCAGCGCGAGCAGCAGCAGAGGACGTGGATGTGGTGATGTGTCCGTACAACTACGTGCTGTCTCCCATGGTGCGCCGCAGCATGGACATTCGTCTGGACGGCAGCATTCTCATCTTCGACGAGGCACAGTTGAGTCGTCATGCGTATGCGAGCACGCGTGTGTGTGTGTGTGTGTGTGTGTGTGTGTGTGTGTGTGTGTGTGTTTTGTGTGTGTGTTTTGTGTGTGTGTGTGGGTGTCTTTGGCTGAGTGTATGAGTGTGTTAAACCACGGGATGCAACACTGAATCAAACAGGGAGGCTGGAAGGGTGTGTTGAATGGAGCACGGTTAAGAATGACATGACAGACTTGCAATTTCTTGGCACGGCCTGTTTTGATCCGATGTGGTCGTCACTTAACGGATAAAGGTTACAGGGGGTGTGCAATGGTGTTCGGATGTGTCTTGTCGCTCGGTTATGTCTCAATTCCAAATCGCACCTGCTGCTGTCACTGTTGTTCTTGTGTGCTGTGCTGCTTCATCAGTACTACGCACACGGTTACTCGGTGTTACCATGTGTGCTACTAAACCAGCCTCAACACCCCTCAACACCCCTGCGCCACTTTATGCTTCCTTACGTCAAGAATCCCACGACCCCTATCCCCCACTCATCTGTCCATCCGCACTGCACCTCATGTGACGTGCCGCCATCTCTGCTCTTCTCTGCGCTCCTCTCCCGCTCTCGCCTCTCTCCCCACCGCACACAGCAACATAGAAGATGTGTCCAGGGAGGCAGCGAGCTTTGAGGCCTGTGTCGTGCCGTCATCCCTGCTCTTCCCTGCTCTTCCCTTCTCTCCTCTCCCTTCCTGCCCTCTCCTCGCCTCTCTCCCCACCGCACACAGCAACATAGAAGATGTGTCCAGGGAGGCAGCGAGCTTTGAGGCCTGTGTCACTGACTTTCAGGGCAAGCTACTCTCCTCTACTCTACTCCTGCTGCTACCATATGCTCTGCTGCTGCTTTATCTCCTCGCCGGCGGTGTTCAATTCGTGCTAGCTCTCTGATGTTTTCTTTGTTTTGTGATGTTCTGTTCTGTTTGTTTCTCTTGCTCCTTGTTTTCGTTTCGCTCGTTTTCCTCCTGTTTGCATGTTTTCCCTCCAACCGCCTCTCCCCTCTTCCCCTCCCCCTTCCTCTCTTACCCTTCCCTGAGTTCACCTCCTCTCCTCCCCCCTGATCTGAACCCTCTGCAGAGCTAGCACGAGAGTTACAAGCACTAGCCACGCCACCAACCCCTGTCAGACTACCACGCATGCTTGGACAGCCGGCAGCAGATGGCAGGCGGAGAGGAGGGAAAGGAAGAGGTGGCGAGGGGGAGAGTGGTATTGTAGGGCCAGAGGAGGGAGGAGAGGGAGGAGTGGGAGAGGACGACTGGCTGCCCATTCCCACTGAGGCCTATGCCAGAGTCTACGCCCCCTTGGCAGATGCTATCACTGTGAGTCAACCTAGATTCATCTCTCTCTGCACACCTCCTCTGAGGCCTATGCAGATGCAACCAGTCTGGGTTCATAACTTGTCGCCTCATTATCCTGCTATTGTTTCCCCGTTTTTTTTTTGTTTTTGTTTTTTTCCCCTTATCATTTGCCGTTTTTCCTTATTGCTTCGTCTCTGTCCTTATTTCCACCACTCTGCATGTGCGTCCCTTTCCATCGAAACCCCCTTTTCCTTCTCCCTGTTCACCACCCCACTCCTTCCCACCTCCCTCCCTCCCTCCACGCCCCTTTCTTCCTTCCAATACCTCTCTTCCCCTCAAAGGCTCTCTCAGAGTGGCTGAATCAGCAGTGCCAGCGGTTGCTTGCGCAACAGAAGCAGAAGCGGGGGAGGAGTGGCTCCAAGGCTTCTTTTCAGAGCAGCAATCCGTCAGATGACGCTATTGTGTACGTTCTGCCACCCTCTCCCTTCCCATTTCTTCCCTCACTGTTCATTAACTATTTTGTTGGTTTGTTTGATATTCTTTTGTTATTATTCTTGGTCACCAACATCTCCTCCTCCTCCTCCTCCTCCTCCTCCTCCTCCTCCTCCTCCTCCTCCTCCTCCTCCTCCTCCTCCTCCTCCTCCTCCTCCTCCTCCTCCTCCTCCTCCTCATCTCTCCCCTTTCTTGCACTGCAAATGCGTCTGCTTGTACACTCGGTGTGATACCCATCGAGTGTACAAGTGCAAACCCATGCACCCTCCTCACACATCCCTTCTATTTTCTCTCCGTTCCGTGAACCAAACCTCGTGGGCAGGCCAGCAGAGCGTATCACCAGTAAGTCTCCCTCTCTCCATCTGCCGCACCACAAGCCCAGTATGTCCTCCTTTCCCCCATAACCTGCCCTCGTTCTTGTCCTTCCCTTCCCACCTGCTCCGGTCCTCTCCTCTCCTCGTCCCACCACCCACCACCCCCAGTCTTGCAGGGGACCAGATTCTCGTCTCCCTGTCTCTCGCAGGCTTTCCGCTGGCCCACTTCCCACTGCTGCTGCAGTGCTCCAATAAGGTACTGTCCGTCTGTCCGTCCGTCCGGCCGTCTGTCCGTTTGTCAGTCTGCCCTGGTTGAAAACACATGCGATGTGCACACTTTTGCGAAGTGCATGCACCCTCCCATCCCATGTAATCTATGTCTGATAGATATGCGCCGGCCAGCCATATTTCACCTTTTCTGCTTCATCCATCCAATCCACTATGGTCTGCGTGTGCATCTACGCATGTGCATCTACGCATGTGCATCTGCGCATGTGCATCTGCGCATGTGCATCTGTGCATGTGCATCTGCGCATGTGCATCTGCGCATGTGCATCTGCGGCCGCGGTTCTCCCCACAACCACCCAGGCTCTGAGTCTGGCGCGCAATGACAAGGCGGTGGGCTTCCAGGTGTCTGCCAAGGGTTGTGCTCTTATGGACGGTATGTGTGTGTGCACGGATGGCTGTGTGTGTGCACGGATGGCTGTGTGTGTGCACGGATGGCTGTGTGTGTGCACGGATGGCTGTGTGTGTGCACGGATGGCTGTGTGTGTGTGTGTGTGCGCGCGCGTGTGTCAGCATCGGACTGGTGTTACGATGGCTAGAGGGCGAGGCTGACTGATGATGGTGTCACACCGGTGAGTGGTGGTGATGGGGGATAGACTCTAGAGACGAGTGGTGATGGTGGGGGACAAAGAACAATGACGGTGATGGTGACACACTAACAGCTCAATATACAGACAGCTTTCAGCATCGGCACATCTACCCTTCACCTTTTCATCCATATTTCTGAACATTCGTTCCAACCCTGTTCTTTGATACTTCCCCATATCTCCTCGCCTTCTCCATTCCACTTCCACTCATTTTCCGCCCGTTTCCCCGCTCTCCCTCACTCGCCCTCCGCCCTCCTCGTCCTCCCTTGCTCTTTGCTCCCCCCCTTCCCTGGAACAGGGCTCTTCACGACGCTCTCTTTCATCCTCACCGATGGCTGCAAGGCCCTGCCAGACTATCGCATGCTCGTGCACGCACCCACTGCTGCCCCAGCATCGGCTGCTGCTGGTGGTGTTGCTGTTGCTGGGACAGACACAGACGGCAAAGCTGCAGGGCAGGGAGAGGAGAAGCAGAAGCAGCAGCAGCAGCAGCAGCAGCAGCAGCAGCAGCAGCAGCAGCAGCAGCAGCAGCAGCAGCAGCAGCAGCAGCAGTGGCGATTCTCCTTGTGGTGCCTCAACCCCGCTGTTGCGTTCCGATCAGTAGCTTCGGCCTGTCGTACCATTGTGCTCACGTCCGGGTGAGCAACACAACATGCGTCAAAATGCGACGGGGTGTATCATGAGACGTCTTTAAAGCACATAGCAAAGAGGGCATGTGCTGTGTGCTTTTTTTGTCGCTCCATCCATCGTTGTGCTACTGAGGGAGCCCCAAGTAGGAGCCATGACTTTACGTGACTTTTGAGTCGACTCAAAAGTCACATCGTGGCTACTGAGGTAGTCCCCCCAAGTAGGAGCCATGACTTAACGTGGCAGCAGATTTTAGTGACACGATTGTTGTCGCTCCATTCATGGTGCTACTCATTTGAGTGTGTGTGTGTGTGTGTGTGTGTGTGTGTGTGTGTGTGTGTGTGTGTGTGTGTGTGTGTGTGTGTGCGTGCGTGCGTGTGTGTGCATGTGCGTGTGCGTGTCTCTGCGCCTGTGACTCTGCCTCTGCCTTTACCTGTGACTTTCCCTCTGTGTGCATGGGATGCGAGCAGCACGCTATCTCCCACAGAGTCCTTCGCATCAGAGCTAGGAATCGACTTCACATGCACCATGGAGGGCATGCACGTTGTTGACTCCGCCACCCAGGTGTGCTGCCACTCACTACCGCTTACTACCACTCACTGCCACTCACTGCCTCTCACTACTACTCACTGCCACTCACCACCATCACCACCACTCACCACCACTCACTGCCACTCACTGCCGCTCACCACCACTCACTGCCACTCACTGCCACTCACTGCCACTCACTACTACTACCACTCACTGCCAGTCACTACCACTCACTACCATTCAATACCACTGGATGCCACTCGCTACCGTCCCTCCTCCCTGTCCAGTCTCTCCCCTTCCCTCCTCCCTACCGCTCCCACTCTCCCCCTTTCCAGGTGTGGGCGGGCGTCATTCCCAGGGGCCCCTCAGGCCTCAGCCTCAACGCCAGCTACAAGTTTTGAGATGTCTCGAAACCCCCATTCACTCCCTCATCCAGGTGTGGGCGGGCGTCATCCCCAGGGGCCCCTCAGGCCTCAGCCTCAACGCCAGCTACGCCAATGCATGCTCGCCTGCCTTCCAGGTGTGTCCGCCCATCCGCCTGATCCACCTGCTGCCCCTCGTGTCGTGCATGGATGATGGAGCGCCCCTATATACTCCCGTTTGCCTGATGCTGGCAGCAGCAACGCCAGCACGAGTGCTGCTTGTCACGTGTAATAAGTGAGTTTTTGAGACGTCTCAAAAACTCACTTATTACACGTGGCCCTGCCCTGCTCTTCCCACAGCACCAGTCGGCCCTGCCCTGAGACAACTGTTGAGGCGCCTCAAAAGTCGTGCTCTGAACGTCCTGCCCCTGCCCTGCTCTTCCTGCAGCACCAGTCGGCCCTGCCCTGAGGATTCTCAGTTCCCAACAACCCTCCCTGTCTCCGCACCCCACCAACCCCACCTATCAGGACGAGTTAGCAGAGGCGCTGCTGCTGATACTGGCAGCGACGCCAGGGGGGGTGCTGCTGTTCCTGCCGTCCTTCTGGCTCTTGGACGCCCTCTCTGCTCGCTGGAAGGCCACTGCTGCATGGCACCGCCTCTCCTCCATTAAAAAGATCTTCACTGGTCAGTTCTAAACGTCGTATTCGTTGGTCGGTTTTGTCGGGTTCCCTGGGGCGGGTTTTGAGGTGTCTGTTGGTCATATGAACATGAGCATCAATTTCAGGCCTTCCGTCAATTATAGATTCGTTTTACTTGCCTACTAACCTCATGGCTGTTTTTTTTTTTTTTTTTTTTTTTTTTTTTTTGAAGGATTCGATGAAAGTTGTTCCATATAGCGGTGTGCTGCGATCAAACCCGCTCCTCCTAGCATCGGGCCTTGCACAGTTTTGAGACATCAACACCTTCTGCCCTCACGAGCTCACACAGTTGAAGCTATCTCCCCCTCTGCCAGCTCACAGCACTTTGGCTTCTCATTTCGTCGTTCTCCCTCGTCCTCTTGCTGCCGCCCTCGTTCTCTCTTTCTCCCTCATGCGCAGAGCCCAGGGGAGTGGAGAAGCTAGATGGAGTGTTAACGCGGTACAGGCGGAAAGTGAATTTTGAGTCCACTCAAAACCCCTTTCTCTCACTGTCGCTCTCGCTCTCGCCCTCTCTCATGCACAGAGCCCAGGGGAGTGGAGAAGCTAGAAGGGGTGTTAACGCGGTACAGGCGGGAAGTGCAGCAGAGTGCGACCAAGCCATGGACCCCCTTGGCGGTACCACAGCATTCCGCTGGAGCAGCAGCAGGGGGCGCACGAGAGGAGGCATCTGCTGCAGCAGCTGAGACATCGGATGTGGAAGAGGGAGGGAAGGGGAGGGGGGTGCGATGGAGAGTGGGTGGGGCCGCAGGGGGGAAAGGCAGAGGAAGCAATGGAGCCATGCTGATGGCCGTGTGCCGCGGCAAGGTGAGGTGTTGGTGGGAGGTGGAGATGTGGGAGGGTGTGGTGGGGAAGTTAAGATAGGAAAGGCGAGACAGTTCCCACCGCAGTTTGATGGTAATGGATGGATAGTAGTGAACCTGTTTCACCACCTTGTTTTAGTTTCTGAAAATGCAGCTTCTACACCACTCCACTCCTCCATCTCGCTCCTTCCTCTTAATCGTTTTAAATCCTCCCTGCTTCCCTTGCGCAGGCATCAGAAGGGATTGACTTTGCAGATGACTCTGCACGTGCTGTGGTGAGATCGCCAACCCTCTCACCCACCCACCCACCCACCCATGCACAATGCCCCGGCACTCAATTCATTACTATCTTATCGAATCCAATCCAATCCACTCACCTCATAAGCACCCGTCACACTACAGAGTTGTCTCTCCTCCCGCCCCCCCGCGTCTCCCTACAACCTGGCATGGCACAACTGCTCCGTTCTGGTCTTCCTGCTTTGAAGTACTGACTACCCTTCTTTCTATTTCCGTTTTCATCCCCACCTGAACAACTCGCGGATTGGAAGCTCAAAGCTCAGGAACCAGTAGTATCGCTTCTCAGACAGACACCATCCGTCCGTCCTTTCTGAATGCCCTGAATGCCCTTGCATTGCAGGTGGTCGTCGGCATTCCATTCCCCAACATGTAAGGCCTCTCTCTCCCCCACTTCCCCATCAACCCCCTCTCTGATCAGCCTGGCTGGCACTCGAAACGACTTGTGCTGCCAGAATCCCAAACGCCTTTCTCTTTTGGAACCATGGTCTGCTCTCTCTCCTCGAAATCCCGTCACGCTGCCGTTACTGTTGTCGACTGCGACACTGCCGAACTCTTTTGCCGTCTCCCTCCCCTTCTCTCTCTTCTCCTCTCCCTCCTTTCCTCCTCTGTCTTCACCTGCCCCCTTTCCTCCTTCAGCCCCTCCTCTCTCGTCCTAGACGCATCCACAGTCGTCGTCACCCATGATAGAAAAGGCATGAGTGTTTAAGAGTTTGCTTACACAACAATGGACAAGAAAACGATATATTTCTTGCCACACCCGCTGACGTTTGCTTGCTATTTTGCACCAGATCCGCTCGCACTATTCCCTTCATCCTCCCATCCATCTCCCCTTCTTCCTTCCAGTAAGTGTCTCCAGGTCACACTGAAGAAGGCATACAACAACCAGGCAGCAGCACAGCCACCGCCACCACCGCCACAGCCCTTTTCCCACTTGGAAGGATTCAACCAGCAGCACCACCGCCAACAGCAGCAGCAGCAGCATCAGCACCACCACCAACAGCAGCAGCACCACCACCACCAACAGCAGCAGCAGCACCAGCAGCAGCCACGCTTGCAGCGGCTCAACGGGGACCAGTGGTACCGGCAAAATGCATTTCGCGCTCTCAACCAGGCCATTGGTAACGTCACTTTCGACCTCTCTGCCCTCTTCCCTATGTATCCCCTCTCATCCCTTCTTTACTGGGTAAGGCACTGGCAGGGGGAAGAAAGCGGTACGAACAAGCAAGAAGCACGAGATAGAATGATTTATTAGTCCACTAAAATTTGGTAATATACACGCAAACAAGGAATATCCACGTCTTTATTTTTCCGATTGCCAATTCCTTTTCCAATGCCCATGCCCTCAATGCCCTCAATGCCCTTGTTATTATGCCAGGTCGGTGCATCCGCCATCGGTACGACTATGGAGCCATCATCCTGCTGGGTATGTGATGTTTCGCACTTCCTTTCCTCCTGCATAGCATGCCTGTAATAGCTGTGTATGGATTCGATATTTTGCAGACCAATGCAACATACTTACTCACATTAGCACACCACACTCACTCACACGCCACACCCACACACACCACACATGCAGACACACACCAAACGGATTTCTTGAGAGAGCGTCTGCGTTTGCTGGCAGCACTTCGCATTCATTCTGTGCTACATACCGAATTCAACATTGAAAACTATCAGACGCGAACCTGGTTTACCCCATCCCATCCCACCCACGACTCTGTCCTGCTTTCTCCCGTGCCGTGCTTGTGTGACCGAATCACATCTCTCCCTCCTCCTCCTCCTCCTCCTCCTCCTCCTCCTCCTCCTCCTCCTCCTCCTCCTCCTCCTCCTCCTCCTCCTCCTCCTCCTCCTCCTCCACCTTCATTTTCCCTCTTCCTCCCCTCCATCCATCCTTTCCCCCTGGCCTCCCCAATAGACGATCGCCTGCTCTCGCCGCTCCTGCAGCAGCAGATGCCCCGGTGGTTGCGCTCCCAGCTGTGCGTGCATGCCACCCCCTCTGCTGCCTCCGCTTCCCTCTCTGCGTTCTTCACCCAGGCTAAGGTGGGAAAGAGTGTATGTGTGTGGGGTGGGAAATGGTGGGAAGGCGTTGTTGTTGTTTGTGTGTAGCCCCACCTGCAGCAGCAGATGCCCCGGTGGCTGCGCTCTCAGCTGCTGTGCGTGCATGCCAACCCTTCTGCAGCCTCGTCTGCCCTCTCTGCGTCCTTCACCCGGGCTAAGGTGGGTCGGATGTGTGTGTGCGAGTTGAGGGTTGGTTGGGGGAGTTGGGAGAGCCAAAAGTGGGAAGGCTGTGTATGTGTGTAGGGTGAATGCCAAGTTTTGAGGCGCCTCAAAACTAGTTGGGAGAGCCAAAAGTGGGAAGGCTGTGTATGTGTGTAGGGTGAATGCTGGTGACTGGCACAGATGAATGTTTGTCCCGGCAACCCCTCCTTATGTCCCCTTCCTGCCCTCCCTTTCTCCACCCGTCTTCCTCCCCCAGTTGACCCCCTTTGCTCTGTCTTTCAGAATTTTAGTCAATCCACTCCCTGTCAAGATTGACAGGGTCAACACCTGATTTCTGAACCGACCCTCTTCATCTCCTTCCCTTTCCAACCTCTGCGTGTCTTACTCCCATACACACCCACATCCATCCTCCCACCCGCCCCTGTTTCCGCCCCCACTTCCACACCTCCACCAGCAACTGTATCCCACACCATCCACACAGACCAAGGCAGGCGTCCCTAGCAAGGGAGGCACAGCCAGGCCAATATCCGAGGTGCCTCCGAATGCCAAGTCAGGCGATTTAGGCTGGAATGTCACTGCCAGGCCAGTGGTTGAGGGGCCTCAATCTACCATGGCTGGTGTTTCAAGCAATGGTGTGACGGCCACAGTGACTGGCTTTCAGTGTGCACAGTCAGACAGGCAAGGTGGAGTGGGGGGAGGAGGGGGAAACGGGGGGAAAGGGGGAAAAGGGGGAGGACGAAGGGAAAGAGAGGGAAGGGGGGCGGTTGAGAGGGATTCCATGCACGCATATGGTGTGGAGGGAGAGGAGATGGGTAAAGAGAGGGACGGGTATGTTAAGGAGGAAAAGGAAGAAGAGGAGGGAGGAAATGGCATAGAAAAGGTGGAGAGGGTTTTTTCAGTGGGGAAATTGCAGGATTTGGAGAAAGTTGAGGGTGTGGGAGAGGAGGGAGAGGAGGGTGGGAGAGGGAAAGGTGTGGTGAAAGGTAAAGGTAGACCTGGAGGCGGAAAGGCTGGTTACAAAGCGGTTCGTAGGGGTGCGAAGCGTGGTGCTGTTGGTGAGGGGTTCAGGACACGTAAAAAGCTTCAGAAGGCTAAAGAAGGGGTAAAACAGAAGGGAAGGGTGGGGGGAGAGGAGGAGGATGAGGACGAAGAGGAAATGGGTGAGGAAGTGAAAGGGGGTGAGGAAGAGGAGGAAAATGAAGATGGTGACGATAACAGGGAGAGGAAGGGAACAAAGAGGGGATATAAAAAGCTTTGGAATCAGAAACAGAAGCAAAAGGAGAAGCAGAGGCAGAGGCAGAGGCTGGGGCAAAGGTCAAAGAGTTCGCACAAGAAAATGTCGGATCAAACAGAGGAAAGGGACGAGGAGGAAGAGGAGGAAGGAGAGGAGAGTGGTGGGAAGGGTGCGACGGAGGAGCAGAATCAGAGAGAGAAGCGGGTGTGTAGAGTATTAAATGGGGTGAGAGGGGCGACGAGAGCAGAGAGCACATTGGACGAGACAGTCTGTGTGGATGGTCAGATGGTGAAGGACAGCAAGTGCCAGCGCTGCCCTGCGATGAACGGTGGAGCTGAAGCTGCTGTTGGTTGCTGTGCTGCTGCTGCTGCAACTGGTGCTGCTGATGCTGCTGATTTTGCTGATGCTCCTGCTGATGCTGCTGATGTGACCACTGCTTGTGCCGAGAACACGACTCTGGCGACGGGTAGCAACAGGGGGGGGATCTTGACTGACGCAACGCAGCCTCCTGATTTTCACTCGTTCAGGTACGAGCGTGTGTGGTGAGGCGATTTTTGAGCTGTTAGAAATGTTAGAAAGAAAGAATCACTCCTTCAGGTACGAGAATATGTTTTCATGGCACCTCATCTTCAAGTGATAACTTGATAACTTCTGAGGCTCTCAACAGCACCTCAAAAGTCAAGTACTGAGAGAGGCTGCTGTTGAGGCTGCTGTTGAGGCTGCTGTTGAGGCTGCTGTTGAGGCTGCTGTTGAGGCTGCTGTTGAGGCTGCTGTTGAGGCTGCTGTTGAGGCTGCTGTTGAGGCTGCTGTTGAGGCTGCTGTTGAGGCTGCTGTTGAGGCTGCTGTTGAGGCTGCTGTTGAGGCTGCTGTTGAGGCTGCTGTTGAGGCTGCTGTTGAGGCTGCTGTTGAGGCTGCTGTTGAGGCTGCTGTTGAGGCTGCTGTTGAGGCTGCTGTTGAGGCTGCTGTTGAGGCTGCTGTTGAGGCTGCTGTTGAGGCTGCTGTTGAGGCTGCTGTTGAGGCTGCTGTTGAGGCTGCTGTTGAGGGTGCTGTTGAGGCTGCTGTTGAGGGTGCTAATAATCAGGCACGAGAATCTGACTTGTGTCAGTCTAGTGCTTAATCCAGTCTGACAACTAGGCAAACCTTCATGCCACACTTAACCATGCTGCAGCTGCCATGTTGACTTGACTTTTGAGTCGACTCGAAAGTCACCTCGTTACCATGGCACATGACACATTTTAGTCAAACCTTCATGCCATACATATCCATCCTGTATGTTCAGCATGCTGACTGAGCTGATTATTAGTAAGTCTAAGTTACGACTAGCCATGTCGCGTTGAGACACGACAGAAGGAGGAAGGCTAGGCTGCATATGTAAACATTCAGTCGAGCTTGCTTGCTGCTGCCTGCCACACCTATATTTTTAATAGATTGGATGATACGGCCATGCTTGTTGCTGCTGCCACGCCTTCCAGTCTACATCTCTGCATTCGTTCGTTCAACTTCACCCGCCCTGTCCTTATCTGTTCAAATCCACAAAACTCTACATCATCTTCCCCACCGCTACCCTCCCTCCCCACCTCGACTTCCCGAACCGAACCACCCCCCAGTACCCCAACTTCGCCTTTCCCCACTTCCTAATTCTGTTTCCCCTCCCGCCGCATGTCACTGCTATCTCAACGTGAGACGCGCAGGTGTGTTCGTCCCATCAGCTCTAAGCTCAATCCGCGAAGCCAGGCATGTTCCATATCACAGCATGCAGCAGTAACAACAGCAGCAGTAACAACAGCAGCAGTAACAACAGCAGCAGTAACAACAGCAGCAGTAACAACAGCAGCAGTAACAACAGCAGCAGTAACAACAGCAGCAGTAACAACAGCAGCAGTAACAACAGCAGCAGCAGCAGCAGCAGCAGCAGCAGAAGCAGCAGCAGCAGCAGCAGCAGCAGCAGCAGCAGCAGCAGCAGCAGCACCAGCAACAGCACCAGCAACAACATCAGCAGCAGCAGTACCACCACCGACACAAGAACTCCCAATATCATCATCACCAACAGCAACAACAGCTGTGTCAACGTTACAGCAAAAGAAGCAACAACAAAAACGACCGCCCCCCATCCACTCTCTCCCTCCCCTCCATCCTCTCCCTCCCCTCCATCCCCAGCCGAACCTCTCACACTCTCTGCCAAAGCCCCTTAAACCCGCCTCCCCTCACTCCTCATCACCCCCTCCCCACCCCTCTTCCCTCTACCCCTCACACACAACCCACCACACACCTCCCCCAAACCTAAACTTTTCTGCTGCCTCCTCTCATCCCTCACCCCCTCTTCCTCTCCTCACCTCCCACTGCACCCAACCTCTCCCTTTACCCCCCTCACCGCAACCATCCTCCCTCACCTCCCACCCGTCCCAACCTTCCCCCTCCCATCCTTCCCTGCCCCTTTTCTCCCCGCACCCCGCCTCCTCTTCCTCCCCTGATGCCTCTCAGCCCCCTGCATCCCGCCCTTCGCCCCACCTCCGGCGTCAGTCTTCCCGCCGCCCCTCCCCTCTCAGTCCCTTGCTCTCTCACAGGCGTGCAAGCATGAGGGCTCGGCTGGAGTCGTTTCTGGGGGATAGGGAGGAGGAGGGGGAGGGCAAAGCGGAAGGGGAAGGGGAAGGGGAAGGGGAAGGGGAAGGGAAATGGGAGAGGGAAGGGGAGGGGAAAGGGGAGGGAAAAGGGGAGGGGAAGGGGGGCGGGGAGGGCCGGGGGCAGCAGCGTGGGGCGGATTCAGCCTGTGAGAGGGGGGAAGATAGATTGGCTGGGATGGGTGGTTCATATGGAGTAAGGAGAGACGTGCTGTCAGACGTAGCGGGCAGATACGACGGAGCAGGCAGAATGGGTGTGGAAAATCAGGCGGCAAGAGGGCGTGACGGGTGTGGCTTGAGGGCGAGTCAGACGGAACTCTATACGGCTGTCACTGGAGAGGGTGTGAAGAAGAGAGAGAGTTGTGATGAGGTAAAGGATATGGATAGAAGAAGCAAGATGGAGGGGCGTCTAGAAGTCAAAGGGAAGGGAGGAGGGAAGTGCAGAGAAGAGAGGGGCGCAACGAGTTTGGCACAGGCATGCCGATCGGGATGGACGGAGAGAGAAGAGGAGAGAGATGCAGTTGATCGGAGTGAGGCTATGCGTGGGGAGGCGGCGGGAAGTAGTCGGAAGAGGGAACGGCGATGGGAAGTGGAGGAGGGCGGCGGTGATGGGGGCATGGACGCTATTCGGCGTGTGCTGGGGTTTGAGGATATGGAATCAGTGGTGGTGGTGGTGCAGGCATGTGGGGAGGATAGCTGCGGCTTTTCGGTTGGAGGAAAGGAAGGGAGCTGTGGGGGGGCTGGTGAGTGCAGTGTCCCAAGCGCCGGGCCGGTTGTACGAGCCGCAGCTGCAGCAATAACAGCAGCGAGAGCAACAGCGGGAGCAACAGCAGCCGTAGAAGCAACAAACGCAGCAGCGACAGCAATGGTAACACGAGCAGCAGGAGGAGCAGCAAGTGCAGCAGTAGCCGGAGAAGCAGATATTGTAGGGTTTGCAGGGACTCGTGCAGCATGTGGGCAAGAGCAAGAGCGTACGGGGATCGCTTTCACAACGACCGAGCAGCAGCCATCCCTGTCTCACCCGTTCGCGCCTGTAGCTCGTCTCGGTTGTTCTCCTCAGACGTCACAGCAAGATCAACAGCAGCTGGAACAACAGGAACAATGGCAGGGGACGCGTGGTTATCGAAATCAGTATGCGCAGCAGCATCAGCACCACCAACATCAACATCAGCCGCAGCAGCAGCAGCAACAACAGCAGCAGCAGCAACAACAACCGCAGCAGCAACAACCGCAGCAGCAACAACAGCAGCAACAACAACAGCAGCATCATTGTCTGGTTGCAGAGTGCCGGGTGTGCCACAGTGCCCTACTCATCTGCCCACCCAACCTCGCCCTCACCCTCAGCGACCTTAATGGAGCCGCAACCCTCTCCTCTTTCTCATTATCACCATTCACACTATTCACACCATTCACACCATTCACACCCACTTCCCCCTCTCTCCGCATGCCCACTTCTGCTCCTCCCATGCAAAGAAGCGCCCTGCACAGTGCTTCACTGCCTGCGCCTCCAACTGCCACCCCTGCATGCTACCCCACCAGCCTAGCCCCCACACCATCTTTAACCACTGACGCAGCCATTGGAACTTCCACTGGAGTATTTACTAGCGACTCCTTGCATCCACTGACCTCCGTTTTAACACCTCCCAATACGCCAGCAGTGCTCTTTCAAACCCCTGGCCCTGCTTGCATACAGTCACCAGCACCAATCGCAGCAGCATCAACGGCAGCAGCATCCGCAGTGTCACTACAGCCCCCCCTTCCGCGTCCTGTGAGATTGCAGGGCAAGCCGGCTCTGTGGGCGCTGTGCCATGGGGAGAAGAGGGCGGAGATGGCAGAGAGGGATGGGGAAGTGAGAGCGGTGGCCGTGTTTGTTGTGGGTGATGGATGCGGTTTGCTAAGGGGACAGAAGGACAGGGTCGGTTTGACGCAGAAGAAGGAGCAGCACTGGTGGCAGCAGCAGCAGACTCACTTGCAGCAGACTCAACAGCAGCGTACTCCTCACAATCAGCGACAGCAAATGCAACATCAGCAACCGCAGCAGGGGAAGTATGGTGGCCAGTGTGGGAGCGAGCAGCAGCAGTCAAGGGACTGTGGTGGTTCTACGTTCTTCACTGTATCTGAGGGAGAGTGGCATCCCCTTGATGGGTGTGTGTACGCTGCACTGCGCTGTGGAGCATGCAATGAAGCGCGCACTGCTCCTGCTGCTGCCACCGCTGCTGGTGGTGCTGCTGCTGCCGCTACTGGTGGTGCTTCTGCCTCTGCTGCTGCTGCTGGTCAGGAAGAGGCCGGTCCAGTGGTGGGCGTGCATGTGCTGGCAAGTGACGGCAACAGCACAGCATTCATTGACAAGGTAAGAGCTTCTTTCTATGGTACAGATTCTCGTCGAGTCCTTTCCTCAACACGTTTACTTCTCTCTGCATTCAAGGTTGAGGCTTCCACATGCTTATACTGATTCTGGAAGGCGTTGCTCTCATGTTTCTATCCGCTACGATTATCCTTGCGAAAAGGATGTGTCTGCATCGCCCACATGTTACCTCTACGATTGTCCTTGCGAAAAAAGATGTGAATGCATAAACTCGTTCCACTCTTGCTGCTTCCCAATCGACCTCGTTTTCCTGCCCTCCACTTTCCAGATGTTATTGTTCCCTGGACGTGTGCTCTGGAAAACTCTTTATTGATTATATTCAAAGACATCCAAAGCATGACTCGGGGCAGTAAGAAGCAACACATCCACTCTGTATGTACAATTGTTATTGTTATTGTTATGTTGTATTCTCCTTTGAACTTGCAACGATGACACTCAGAATTTGGCAACAATGTAAATGTTCATTATGAAAGTTTCACAGTACAAATGTACTGTACCATGGAAAAGCAAGTACACGGTGTATGCATATCGAAGATTTTTTCGTGGCTTATGGTCACGAAGTGGGAGGCTTTTTTTACAGTCAACAATGATTGATCCAACTATCTGAGCACTGATTTTGAAATTGCCATCCTTTCTAACTATATGACGATTCTGTACACTCACATTCATCAGAAAACAACCACAAACGCTTATATCCAACTAGTACCAAGACTACTATGTACTCTACTACCTTCTTTCTCTTCCACCACATGCTAAGCTATATCATTTCACTCCTTCAATCCATCATCCCTTTCCCCACCCTCCCCCTTTCCCTAACCCCCTCTCCCTCCTATCCATCTTCCCCCACCATCAGTGCCTGACACATTTTGTACAACCCACCATTAATGCATACCGCTTTACATCCCTTATTCACAACCTCCCCCACCCCCACTTCCACCTCTCATTCACCTTACCACGTCCTCCCTTCCCTTCCACCTCCCATTCACCTTCGCTGCCTGGCTCCCATTTCTGTTCCCTCCCACCATCCCCCAATGCCCTAAGGTACACTCTAAACAACAAGAAATCTTCACAACGCGTCATATCAACACACACCACAATACAATCCACCCTCCACTTCCCCATTCATTTCCTCCATCCCCTCCCTTCCTAACCTTCTCCCTTCCCTCCCATCCCATCTTTTCTTTCTTTCCCTCCCTTTCTCCATTTCCTCCCGTTCTTCTTTTTCTCTCCTTTCCACCCATTCCTCTCTTTCCTTCCTTTCCCCTCTCCCTCTTCCCTCTCTACGCTCTCTTCACCCCCTTCCCACTTCTCCCAGCAATTTCCACTGCCACTCCAGAAAGTGACAAAACGGGAACACACCAGTCTGCCACATGCATCGCATAACTGCTCTCTTATCTCTATTATCTCAATTCCTCAACTCTTCTCCTCTCTCCACCCTTCTCTCCTCTCTCCTCTCTCCTCCCCCCTCCAGCACCACTACCAGAATCTCCCCTTCCTCAACCGCGCACCCCATCCGCCCCTTCCTCCACCTCCCCCTTTCCCTCCCCCCCCCTCCCACACTCCCCTCACCCTCCTCCCCCACGCCTTCAAGCGAGTTGGACTGGGACAGGGACAAGGAACGAGTTGAAGATTGGGAGCGGGGTGTGACAGATACAGACCCATCATCCTGGGAGCGGGTGGACGACCGTGGTGTGCTGGCAGAGCCACGGGCGGAGTCCCCCTCCCACTGCCCTCTCGCACTCCGAAAGTCTTCCTCTTCATCCTCCTCTTCTTCCTCCTCCGCTTTCCCGTTTCGTCGTGCTGCTATTGCAGCCGCCCTTTCCCTTGCTCCTGCTCTTGCCCCTGCCCCTGCTCCTCCTGCTGCTGCTACTGCTCTCCTGCTGCCAGTGGTATTTACCCTCTGCCCTGGAGCAACAGGCTCATTCTCACTGCTCTCCTCTCCTTCCCGCCTCCAGTTCAAATCCACATACGCTCGCATCTCCTCCTCCCCCTCCTCCTGATCCCCCTCCTCCTCCACCTCTCCACCATCCTCCTCTGTACTTGCGAATTCCAAATCCTCCTCCTCCTCTTCCTCCTTCTTTCCCTCCTCTTCTGCAATCTCTACATTGCATCTCACTCGCCGCCTCACCTCATCTCCCTCACCCCCCACGCCTCCTCCCCCTCCTCCTCCCCTGCCGGCAAACCCATGCGAAGGACTGAACACATTCAAGTCACGCGCATAGTACACTCTCCCTGGATCCTCCTCCTCCTCCTCCCTCTCCCACACCCCTCGTCCTCCTTCTTGTCCCCCCTCTGTCCGCACACCTGACCCTCTTTCCTGGTTGGGATTCAACCCAGCAGCACCAGTACCAGGAATATTCCCTACCCTTGCCTGTGCCCCTGCTCTACCCCGCGCCTCTCTTCCTGCCTCTCCCCTTCCCCAACCTTCAATTCCACCTCCCACCATCGTCCCACCATACTCACTCTGCGCCCTCCTCCCAATTTCTGTCCTCCCATTCCTCAACCATTGCCTCTGCTGTAGAGGCATCTCCACTCGCCTCCCATCCTCTCTCACCGCTCTCCACCTCTCATCACCTACTCCAGCTGCCCTCCACTGCCCTCCAGCTGCCCTCCACTGCCCTCCATTAACTCTTTCCAATCCTCCTATCTCTACATCACGCAGATCACCTTCCCCTCTCACTCCCATCCCTCCTCTCACTCCTCCCATCCCTCCTCCCACCCCTCCCATCCCTGCTCCCTCTCCTCCCATCCCTACACCCACCCCTCCCCCTTCCTCCCGCCCCATCTCACCATTCCCATCCCCCACACCACCACCATCCTCGCTACTGTCAGACTCACTAATCCCTGACACCCCACTGAAAGTGAACGCACTCTCTTCTTCCTCTGAATAGGTCACCTTAGCCCGAGGCCTAAACGCCCCTGTGCTGTTAATTTCCCTTAGCGGACTGGCAACAGTGGCAGCAGGAGCGACAGCAGCAGCAGCAGGACCAAGAGCAAGGGCAGCAGCAGGAACAGGAGGAGGAGCAGGAGAAGAAGGAGAAGCAAGAGCAGGAGGAGGAACAGCAGGAGAATCACGGCCATCAAGCGTTCCCTCTACAGGCATCCGCCCAGCACTCACCGCCCTCCCCTCCGCCACAACTGCTCCTGCCTGCACCCCAGCATCTCCTGCTGTTGCAGCCACAGCTGTTCCCAGCGGCTCTCGCACTCCTCCTAGTCCTTGACCAGTCACCATCCCCCCAGTGCCTGGAGTTGCTCCCTCTCTCAAGGGTACTAGCTCTGTCATGGGCGGTGGTGCTGCAGGCAGCAGCAGCAGGGGAGGTTGCATCTGCTCAGGAGCGGTGGCGGCAGGGAGAGGTGGCAGCTGGAGGGGGTTTTCGAAGTGCTGCTGGTGCTGGTAAGCCAGGGGGAGGTGGTATCTGTTGGTGAAAGCGGTTGTGGGGGGTACTGCAGGCAGCCTGGTAGATCAGGAGAAGGAAGAACGGAGAGGGGAGGAGAGGAGAGGAGAGGAGAGGAGAGGAGAGGAGAGGAGAGGAGAGGAGAAGAGAGGGGAGGGGAGAGGAGGGGAGGGGAGGGGAGGGGAGGGGAGGGGAGGAGACAGGATGGAACATGAGTACGTACAATCTGCAATTGGTCTCGAAACAAATGGTGCACGAAACTCATGGCATGCATGGCATGCATGACTTGCATGCCTGACTTACATTGCATGCACCAACACACACTCACATCATGCGAATGGCATGGTCATCATCATCGTGATCATATCCACGGGTGAACATGCATCCTACTGCATGCGACTTTCCGGTCAACTCGAAAATCATCTCACACACTCACATCATGCGAATGTGATGATCATCATCAGCATCAATTCCAGCGGGAAAGACTGCATCTTCCAGCATGTCAGTGAAGCGCACTGCCAGCTGTATCACGCGCGGCGGCAGGACCGGCGCCACCCACTGAACTGCTGCCACGTGGATGGGCTGCTCCAGAAGCATGCGGGTGGATGGTGGAGCAGTAGGAGGGGGAGGAGATGGAGGAGGAAGGGGAGGAGTGAGAATAGAGGAGTGGGAGGGGAGGAGTGGATGGGAGGGAGGAGAAAAAGGTTAGGGAGCGGAGAGAGGGAAAAAAAGGATTGGCATCGATTGCAAGGTGTGCACACGAGTGACGAGTGCATGCGTAAAACAGTAGAAGAGGGAACAACCATCAGGGCTGTGACTGCTAAAGTCAGCATGGGCAGAATGGCCTGGATGCGAAAGAGGAAGCTGGTGGTTTATCATTTGAGTCACTGGAAGAGAGACTGTGCTGGGTGTGCAACACAGCAACTGAACAACGCAGTGTGCCCAGCCCACCGCATCAACCACGGAACCATGCAGCCCCATCGCCCGCTTCATTCCATGCATACCACCGCCAAGCAACAACACCCACTGCCATAACACAGCCTCAACACACTCAATGCCGTGCCTGTCCAACCAAAACAGCCCAGTGCCACCCAGCCCAACCCAACCCAACCCAACCCAGCGCACCCCAGCCCAACCCGGTCCAGCCCAGCCAAGCAAATTACCCCGAGAGTGCCATAGAGGTTGTCTAGTTCCTCCACTAGCTGCAGCGCCCAGCTCAGCCCAGCCAATCCAACCCAGTGGGTGCCCAGCTAACCAACCCAACCCAGCCCCGGCCAACCCAACCCAACCCAGCTCAGCCAAGCAAATTACCCCGAGAGTGCCATAGAGGTCGTCCAGCTCCTCCACTAGCTGCAGCGCCCAGCCCTGTGGAATGGCGCCCAGCTGTATTGACAACTGCAGGGGTGGTGCACACGAAGAGCGGGCAAGGGGAGCAGGGCGAGGGCGAGAGGCGCCGCAACAGCATGGCATGATGGGGACCGGAACAGCAGCAAGGCGGTAGATGCTGGACATGGGCACATCACACATCATATTCGACGCAATGGAAGTTATAGCGGCAGAGCGTGAGGTGACTTAGGCGAAGCAGAACTGTAGCAGGTGTGTGAACTGACTATAAAGTCGCCTAATATCACCAGATGGACTCAGTGCAGCAGAGGGCGCAGCGAAGAGGGCGAGAAGGAGCTGGAGGAGGCGAGAGGTGACCTCTTGGTCAACTCCGAAACAGCAGAGGGACTCACTACACCAAAGGTGGAAAAGACGTGCGAATTGGCTTCTGTGTCCTCTAAGGGTACAGAGTTACTCACAGCAGCAGAGGGTGCGGTGACGAGGGTGAGGAGGAGCTGGAGCAGGCGAGCGAGGGAGCGGGGCAGGAAAGAGTGGCCGAGGTGTGCGAGCGCGATGGCAGTGACGAGCCAGGTGTAGAAGAGCACTCGCACCGCCTGCCGCGCACCGCCTGGCAGGGCTACTCCGCGAAGCAGGCGAGCGAGGAGGGCAGACTGTGGAGGGGCTTGCAGAGGGAGCTTGGAGCGACTGTTGGGCGATGGAGGGACGGGAGGGGAGAGATGGGGGAAGGGAGGGAGGGTAAGTTGGAGGGCGATGGCCGTGACAAGCCAGGTGTAGAAGAGCACTCGCACGGCCTGCCGTGCACCGCCTGGGAGGGCTGCCGTGTGCAGCAGGCGAGCGAGGAGTGCGGAGTGCTGAGGGGCTTGAAGAGGCAGCTTGGAGCGACTGTCGAGGAGAAATGGAGTGAGGGAGGGAGGGGGGACGGGGGTGGGGAGGAACGGGGAAAGGGTTAGAGAGGGATGGTTCTCAGGAGCATGGAGAAATGATTGTGTCTTGAGTTGTGGCGTATTTGTAAAAGCAGGTTCCTGGAGGGCCAATTGTGTACATGATTCGACGGCCAACTAACTGCAAGTTAGCCTGTTTCAAGAATATGTCTGTACAAATCGAGCTAGATAGAGGGGTGTTATCAACATGCACAAGGACGGATAATAAGGAGGAAGGTCAAAAAGAGGGCATGCACAAGTGCATGCATGTTACTAGCTACCAGTGTCCTCCACCCAGGAGGAGTAATGCAGGTCACATAATAAGACCGAGCCTGGTTGAGCTGTTGAGATAAAGGCTGACCTGGGATCATCCATGTGTAGATACCACTAGTGAGATTTCTGGTACGATCCACGATGATGTCACTTGTGAAGCTGATTTTACTTGTTTGAAACAACTTAGGCCGCAGGGAGGCCTGTGTTGCGCGTCATAATGGAGTATCAGGAACCGATGTGAAGAAACACGTTTTGCTGATGCAGATCTGGCGAAAAGGGGAAAGGAGGGTTGGGGAAAATAGTCAAAGACGAGGTACGGCAAAGAAACGCTGGAGTCGTCGCCGCGACTACGTATGTGCTGAAACAGCAGCAGCATACTCATGAAATCAGGGAGCTCTCCCAGGGTCTTGTTCTGCTGTGGCATCAAGCGGAGGGGGAGGGGAACCACACTGCACCTAGATTTCTCCAGCTTCACATTTGATGAATGTGACGATGTGGAGCCGCGCATGGCGAGTAGCTGGATGCGCTGCGACTTTTGCGAAGCCCACGTTACAGTTCACTCTCATCGATACGTGGTTCCAAACTGACGTGGGTAGCAACACTACACTTGTTTTGTTGTGTAACACGAAGTACACCTCGTGTGTGAGTGTAGTTATTTCCCACTCCCACCAGTAGCTCCTTCCGTTCCACCTGGCGGACTTTAGTGACAAGGCAGCAACAGACACGTGGCAATCTTTCCTGCAGCATGACCCTCCACTCCATCCGCGCATTTCCACATTCAGAAATTCTAGTTTGAGCATGCGACTCGACTGTCCACTTCTTTGGCGCTCCCTCCCTCTTCCCCACCCCACCCTTTCAAACAGCAAGCCAAGGCAGTTTTTTTCCTCCCTGTTCTATTACGTCGCTTCTCAGTACCAGTTTTTCTGATTTTTGTGATCAATTAGCGATCGAATAACCCTTTCCTTTCATCGTCCGCTTCCTGATCGTCTGAAGTGACTTTCACCTATGGCCCAGTCCAAGACTTCGAAAGAAGAGGCAAGACACGTTATCACAGCTTTTTTTAATCACGTGTTAAGAGTGCAATTTCTTGCTGTTTCATTTACGTTTCACATCTTTCACGTCCATTTTTTTTTCCGTAAACACTTAAGATCAATTGTATGCGTTCCCTTCTTATCCTCTCTTCATGTACCGTGGCGGCTCCTGCGCTCCAGGAAGCGCTGTTTGCGTATCAGGAGGAAACGGGGATCGGTACCGGGCCTGAATATGAGTATCCAAAGACGGCAAAAGAGGACCCCGAGACTCCGATTGTGGACGCACCGGGCCCGGAGGAAGGGAAGGGAGGGGAGGACGCACCGGGAGAGGATGCTCCTGAGCTGACGGAGAAAGAGATTGAAGGTATTTTTAGAATATGTCGGATTTCCTCTCTGACAATATGGTGGGAGCATGTGCTACGACCAGCTTTACTTTCCGTTCCAGGGTTTTTGTTTTATGACTTTGCGTGTTTCATATCATGTTGACCGTGATAGTGCGACTAACTGACATGTTTTTTTGCCACTGTGCCCTTGTTTTTGGTGGTGCTACAACGTGTGCGCACGGTGGGGGGCAGAGGAAGAGTCGCTGGAGCAAGAGGCGGCAGGGGAATGGACCGAGGACATGGCACAGAACGTTCCGCAGCCAGGCGATGTGCCCACTGGAATTCCCGAGGACACAGAGAGACTGCCTAGTGACCGAGGCTAGTAGGGAAGTAGGACACTATGCATCTGTGTGTTGGGAGTACCATATGGTTTGAGGGTACTAGTAGTAATTGTGTGCTCCACCGTATGTTCGGGGGTCTGTATATAGTGAGAATCGATTAATAAAATGGGATTACAACCGGGGTCTTCGCATCAGTGGATGCGCTTATTCTTTATTTCAGAATGTCAAACGGCTCGCTGGAGAGAATTTATAGACCTGCCAATTCTGTGCTCGCGGCTGTCAGTCCGCTTCTGGGGCGTGCTGTTCCGTGCTGCCACTCCGCGCACCTTGTTCCTGAACTAGCTCACTAGCTCACTAGCTCTACTACTTGGGCGGTGTGCACGGCGACTTAGGCTTGCAGCCCGTGAGGCCTGATGGACCGCAGATGCAGCGCGAGCACCAGTTGCCCGGCTCGGGGATGTCGGTGGTGCCCACCGCGTAGTAGCGCATGCCCCACGTCTCTCCCGCTGAGTTGCACGCCATGGGGGAAACTGATGGGGTTGCGGAGGAGGTGGCGGGCAGGGAGAGAAGGCGACAAAAATGTATTTGAGACGAGACGGGGACAGATAGATAATGCAATCGGTGGTGAGAAATGGGATGGGAAACTGCAGGAAGAAGTAAAAAACCCAAAGAAGGAGCGCGAGAGAAAGAGAGAGATTGCATGGCGAGGAACTGGGAACTTACTTGTCTGAGGCGCAGTGCACACTCCAGAGTCCGCACCGTTGGCTCCCACCTTGTTGATGAAGCACCTGGATCAACACGGCAAGGGATCGCAGTATCGCAACAAAATGAAACGCTGTAGAATCCCCCGCAAACCAAGCTCGTCTGAGGGAGCTAGACAAAATAGCCGGGAATGTGAGGGGAGCAAGGCAGTGCGAATGATCAGATGAGAAATTTAGGAAACGGGCGAGGGGAAATGGGGAAGGTTGGGTAAAAACTCACGAGGATTGGGTCATAGGGCATGACGAGCCTGGCGCAAGCTGCCCATTCAGGCCAATCTTGCAGGGGGTTCCGCCACCGCCGATACCGCTGATGGTGGCACCGCTGTCGCACACACAGGTGGCGGACGCCGTCCCAGCCTTACGCTTGGGCGACGAAGCCGCGCGAACGAATGCGGAGTTGGTAGTCGTCGCGCTGCCCGCTCGCTGCAGCGTGCAGGTGCAGCGCGGGCAGTTCGGGTTCCCCGGAATATTGCTCGTGCCCACGGCGTACGGTTGCGACGCGAACGCGCAGTAAGGACCATCTGGAAGGGCGGGTTGAACATTTTGGGTGCAATGCTTAGAGAGGAATTGAAGCGGGAAGGGATGGCCTTAGTGAGACCCAGGCTGTAATTTTTCACTGGTGCTAGGCCTGACCAACTTTTGTGACTGGAGGATGGAGAGAAGGAAGACATCTGATGATACAAGAGCAAACGCCTGCGAGTGCTTCACTGAAAATGCCGTTTGTTTCGAAGCTACGTGACCTTTCAAGTGCATGAGCTACAAGCACGCGAGCTTACTGAAGTAGGTGCTGTTGCAGATTCCTGAGATGCGAGTGTCGCTAGAGCCGCGAGCAGGGATCTTGTTCACAACGCATCTGTAATAGGCAGGTGGGACATGGATGCAAGATTGGACACAGGTGACGGCAGCAAAAGAGTTGAGAGCATTGAATTGAGACACATGATTTGGATTTTCACGCGGTGTTTGCAAGTGCCCGTTACACAATTTAACGTTCACACGCGCTCCATGAGATCCCCGCTCGCGACAATCCCAAGGAGAAAAGTGCTGCTACTCACGTGGCAACGCCGCCAGCGCACGGCTTGACAGGCTTGTATGCTGACGTCAGGTAGCACGGCTTGCCGTTCGGCACCGTCGCCGCTCCGAGAACCGGGCCTGCGATCCGAGAAAAACGTGCCGTTTATGAGTCATTTTATTGGTTACGTGTCATGAAAGTATGAGTGGTAGCAGTACACTGATTGCGTGTGCTCTACAATCCCGTGAATCAAAGGGATACATATATTGTTCATACTTTCCGTCGTAATGAGAATCTAGGCCATGACACCCTCTGAGGCGGGTCAAAGATCATGGGCCGAGACACGCACCTGCCAAGAACGCGACGATGAAGACCATCACCAATGCAAACGCTTGGGTCGCTTTCACCATGATGCCAGAAAGGGTATTCGCGCGGGAGACGGGGCGACGGCGCGAATGAACGTGCGTAGAGAGCGCGCCTCGATTCAGAACGCACACGGGATCTGGTTGAAACCAGTCAGCGGGGACAGAAACGAACTCAGCCGCTAGTAACAAGCAAACCAGACTCGCGAAAACGCTCTTTCCGCTATCGGATAAGGAAGATCAACAATACCGCGAGCAATCTCGATCTGATGCTAGTATCCTGTATTACTAAGTCAAGTGAAGTGGAGGAAGATGTGGAAGTCCAAGTGATTACGCTGTGTACTGTGCTTACTTCTGCTGCCAGCCGCGCACCCTTTTATCCTTGCTCAAGAAGCCCGTCTCTTGGGTGAGCGCGCATATGGGTACGTCGTTCAGTGCACCTCCACCCCTCGCGCATCTCACGCCCCCTTGCTTCCCTACCTGTCCACTTGCTTCCTGCTCTCGCGCCGCAATTATTGTCGCCAGCCACACCCCACCGAAGCGAGAGGCTACAATAATTGTGAAATACCCCCTTTTAGCAAAATTTAGGTTTAGATAGGCAGTAATATGATTTAGTTTAACATGTATTATGTAAGCCTGTGGTCATTCTTCTGTCAGAGTTATATGACATAGCTACTGTAGGCTATAGTGGGGTAGCACATATGGGGTACAGTTGCCTAGGGTTTGCCTTTTGTACCCAACTTTCACTTAGTCATTTCATTCCTGTTTTCTTGATTCACATGGTATAGAGCGGGTTCCTACATGGGACCGTTCCTTCCTAAGGGCCCACCATAAGATTTTTTTTTTTAGCTGCCCGCGCACATTGCGCCCTGCCCTAAATTTTTTTTTTTAGCGGCCCCTACGCTGCCCCTACGCGGCCCCTACGCCGCCTCCCACGCGCCCCCTATGCGGCCCCTGGCGGCGCCCTGACGAGGCCCCTGCCGGCGCCATATCGCGGCCCCTGACGCGCCCCCTGGTGGCGCCCTGACGCGGCCCTGACGCGGCCTGACGCGGCCCCTGGCGGCGCCCTGACGCGGCCCTGCCGTGGCCTCTGACGCGGCCCTGACGCGGCCTGCCGCGGCCCTGAAGCGGCCCCTGACGCGGCCCTGACACGGCTCTGCCGCGGCCCTGACGCGGCCCTGCCGCGGCCCCTGGCGGCGCCCTGACGCGGCCCCTGACGCGGCGCCCTGACGCGGCCCCTGCCGCGGCCCTGACGCGGCCCTGCCGCGGCCCCTGACGCGGCCCTGACGCGGCCTGCTGCGGCCCCTGCCGCGGCCCTGAAGCGGCCCCTGACGCGGCCCTGACGCGGCTCTGCCGCGGCCCTGACGCGGCCCTGACGCGGCCCCTGCCGCGGCCCCTGGCGGCGCCCTGACGCGGCCCCTGACGCGGCGCCCTGACGCGGCCCTGCCGCGGCCCCTGACGCGGCCCCTGCCGCGGCCCCTGACGCGGCCCCTGACGCGGCCCATGTCGCGGCCCCTGACGCGGCCCCGCCACCTACCTTTCCGGCCACGCCGCCTCCTCTCAGCGGCCCCGCCGCCTCCTCCCAGCGGCCCCGGACGCCGCCCTCTCAGCGGCCCCGCCGAGCCGCCCAGCAGCCTAGCCGCCCAGCAGCTGAGCCACCGAGCCGCCCAGCAGCCGAGCCGCCGAGCCGCCCAGCAGCCGAGCCGCCCAGCAGCAGAGCCGCCGAGCCGCCCAGCAGCCGAGCCGCTGAGCCGCCCAGCCGCCGAGCCGCCCAGCAGCCGAGCCGCCCAGCAGCCGAGTCGCCGAGCCGCCCTGCAGCCGAGCCGCCCGAGCCGCCCTGTCCGGTAAGAGCAGCGCCTCTCTCACAGCACTGCCCTCACCCCACTGTTTGCGCTGCTAGTCTACTGCTGTCATGGCTACCCCTAGTGTCCTCGCTTTTGACGCTGAGGGTCGGGCCATTGACTTTGACGTCTGGATAGATGACCTGCAGCTTTTCTTACAGTGCGATAGGGCAGACGGCCTCTCCCTCTTTGACCTCACTTCTGGTGCCTCTCCTGCCCCCGCCACTGATGCTGACGCAACTGTTCGCTCCCAGTGGGCCACGCGCGATGCTGCTGCACGTCTTGCTGTGCGTCGCCACCTGCCTACCGCTGAGCGTGCGCACTTTAGCCAGTACAAGAGTGCTCAGACCTTGTACGACGCTGTAGTTGCACGCTACTCCTCCCCTGCCACTGCTGCACTGAGTCGCCTCATGCTACCGTACCTCTTCCCTGACCTTGCTGCCTTTCCCACAGTCGCTGACCTCATTACGCACCTACGCACTAGTGACACTCGCTACCGCGCTGCGCTTCCTGCTGAGTTCTGCGCCAAGAACCCCCCCCCCATGTACATCACCCTCTACTACATAGTCACCCGGCTCCCTGACTCCCTTCGCGTAGTCAGGGACCACTTCCTCTCAGTTTGCCCCACCACTCTCACCGTTGACCTCCTCGAGAAGTCCCTCCTAGCAGCAGAGAAGAGCATAGTAGCTGTAGGAGCCTCTCGTGGTGACCCTCGCACCCCCATCTTTGAGGGGTGTTCCCCCTCCCCCCTTTTGCCCTCTGTTGCCTCTGCTGCTGCGGCCGACCTCGTTGGGCTTGAGTCGGTCGGTGCGGCGTCTACCCCTAGCGGGAGACGCCGCCCTGGCAAGGGCAAGGGGGGCAGGGGCGCTGGAGGAGCTAGCGGGGGCGGTGGAGGCGGCAGTGGAGGCGGTGGAGGAGGTGGGGGTGGCGGTGGGGGTGGTGGCGGGGGTGGAGGTGTCGGTGGCGGCAGTGGAGGCGGAGGCGGCAGCGGCAGTGGCGGAGGGAGCGGAGGTGGCGGCGGTGGAGGAGGAGGCGGCGGAGGAGGTGGAGCTGGTCGGGGTGGCGCTGCGCAGAGGGTCGGCTCCGGTGGTGGTCAGCGCCAGCAGCAGCAGCAGCACCAGCAGCGCACTCGTGACATCCCCTCCCCTCAGCAGCTCCGTGAGTGGTACACTGCACGCCAGAGGGGTGGGGGTACTGGTCCGTGCACCTACGTCCTCCGCACCGGCGACCGCGCGGGTGAGCAGTGCGGGGGTGCGCACTCCACCCAGCGCTGCTTTGGCCGTCTGACGGACGCTTGGCGTCACCAGTTCCCTGAGGCCACTGAGATCCCCCGCTGGGGTGAGCTGTCTAGGGCGGGTGTGGCTGTCTTTGACCTTGACTTTGATGCTATTCTTGCTGCCATGTATACTGTGACTATTAGTGATGAGGGTGACTGTTACCGGTGTTTTCCGCCCGACCCGGGCATTGAGACTGCTGCTCTAGGTACTGGTGAGGCTGCTGCTCTAGGTGCTAGCGAGGCTGCTGCTCTAGGTGCGTCTGCTCCCTCAGGTGCTGGTGAGTCTGCTCTCTCAGGTTCTGCGTCGGCTTCGGCCTCCCACACCTTCACCCTTGACTCGGGGGCTTCTCGCTCCTTCTTTCGAGACCGCACCACACTCACGCCGCTTAGCCGGCCAGTTGCAGTCTCTCTGGCAGACCCCTCTGGGGGTCCTGTCCTTGCTCACTTCTCCACTGTCCTCCCGTGTCCGGCGGCCCCCTCTGGCACCCTGTCTGGTCTTTACCTTCCCTCGTTCTCTACGAACTTGGTGAGTGGTGCTGACCTACAGGATGCGGGGGTTCACCAGTTCACTCCTGCGAGTCGGCGGGTGACCCACTGCACGGACGCTCGGACAGGCCGACACCTGGCCACGTTTACCCGTCGGCCGGGGTCGAGCCTGTACACCCTGACCACTGCGTCTCCTCCAGTCACTGCGTCTGGCCAGGTAGCTGCGTCGGGTCAGGTGTTTGCTGCAGCGTCTAGGTCTGGTCCTGAGTCTGCCCCCTGTTCGTGTCGCCTCCTGTCTCACGAGACTCTCCTCTGGCACCACCGCCTTGGTCACCCCTCCCTGCTTCGTCTCCGAAGCATGGCCTCCCGTGTCCTTGTCTCTGGTCTTCCCCGGTCCCTCCCTCCCCTTCCTCCGGGGCCTGGCCCTACCTGCGTCCCCTGTGTCGAGGGGCGGCAGCGGGCTGCCCCTCACTCCTCCCAGTTTCCTCCGACAGAGGCCCCGCTGCAGACGCTTCACATGGACGTGTGGGGCCCGGCCCGCGTCCGTGGACAGGGTCACGAGCGCTACTTCCTGCTGGTGGTTGACGACTACTCGCGTTACACCACAGTCTTCCCCTTGCGCAGCAAGGGTGATGTCACTAAGGTGTTGATCGACTGGATCCGCGCAGCTCGTCTCCAGCTCAGGCAGAGCTTCGGCTCGGACTTTCCTGTTCAGCGTCTGCACTCTGACAGAGGTGGAGAGTTCTCCTCTGGCCTTCTGCGAGCCTACTGTCGTGCACGAGGCATCCGCCAGACCTTCACGCTTCCGGACTCTCCACAGCAAAATGGGATTGCTGAGCGCCGCATTGGCATGGTCATGGACGTCGCCCGTACGTCCATGATGCATGCGGCTGCCCCCCATTTTCTGTGGCCGTTTGCGGTTCGGTACGCGGCGCATCAGATCAACCTTCACCCCAGGGTCTCCATGCCGGAGACCTCCCCAGCTTTGCTGTGGACGGGGAAGGTTGGCGATGCGTCTGCGTTCCGTGTCTGGGGATCTCGGGCGTTTGTCCGCGACTTGTCTGCAGACAAGCTGTCCCCTCGTGCTGCTCCTTGCGTCTTCCTTGGCTTCCCCCCTGACGCGCCAGGGTGGCAGTTCTACCACCCCACCTCTCGCCGTGTCCTGTCCTCCCAGGACGTCACGTTTGACGAGTCGGTCCCCTACTACCGCCTCTTCCCCTACCGCACTCCGTCCCTCCCCCCGCCACCGCTCTTCCTTGTCCCAGGTCCCCCCCCGGTAGACCCCCTCCCCCCTCAGGGTCCTGCCCCTTCAGGTGTGTCCCAGGTAGACGCAGTCGAGCCTGTCGAGGTTACTGGTGACTCTGGTGTTGCTGAGGGTGCTGAGCCTGGGGGTGCTGACTCTGGGGGTGCTGAGCGTGTGGGTGCTACTACTGGGGGTGCTGAGC